ACCGGTCTTCTCGGTCAGAGCTGCAAGTACCCAGAAACCTGAGATGCCCTGTTCCGCTGCTCGAGGAACCGTTTTTGGGTGGAGGTGCTTGTGTAAGCAGCTGTTGAAAAACGAGCAGATGTGACATCTTTATGAAGCTGTAGATCAGGCCTAGGTGGACGTGGTAAGAGCGGATCTGGATTCCGAGTAAAAGGGGGCTAATGGAGATGGGTAACCATGTCGTGTAAACCAAATGGATGCAGACAGACTTGCCTGCCAAACAAAACCGGTCAGGTTCATTCAGGGACGTTCACTTTGATGAGCACCGATGGAAAACCTGGAAATCTTAGCGTCTGCATTCTGCAGTGCTCACCGTCATTCGGGTCCTCACCCCGACGAGGACCCTCCTTCGCTGTTCCTTAATTTTGAATTAATGTCTGTTAATCCCATCTGATGAGATGGGCAGTATCACACCTGCAGACTCCCCCAGATTCCTCGGGGCCCTGCCCTCGCTGGAACAGAGAAGTGTGCCTTCTATCAAGACAGGCAGACACCACCGGGACTGCAGATGTTTACTGAGCCTTCGAAGACCTTTGACTTTCCATCATCACCTTGGCTACATTTTTCTTAAAACGTCAGCCCGCAGTCGTAAGAAGGAGACCCTGAGATAGAAACGCAGTGCTCAGAACACGCCCCTTCCTCGTCAGCTGATGGTGCTCCTGCAGCAGCCGGGGGTCACCCCGCCCCAAGTGCCACTCAGCACGGGCTTTGGGCAGCAGCCCGCTGCTTGGAGTTGACTGTGTTCACCTAGGATTTTATGTTCATGCATGATCGGAAATAAAGTCAACTTCTCTTCCTTATAACGGCAGGACTTCTGACCGTGATTTGACTCTGGGGGAAAAGCGGGCAGGAGTGCACATACTTCCTCCCAGCAGGAAGGGCTTTCGGTCCCCAGTGACCGAGCTTAATATTTTAAATATGTCACATTCTTCAAATCCTGTTTTCTTAACAACAGCTGGCCATAGCTAGTTCGTCACTGTCCCCTTGGGTCGGTTATGGCTCTTTGTGGCTCATCTGGGTCCCCAACTTCCTCCTGTGTCTGCTCCCGAGACCCTCGGTCACTCAGTGTACCCTGTGCCTTTGTACAAGCTGCTCACCTGGGGTGGACCTGCAGGGGCGTGGGCGGGGGCATTGGATCCATGGCCTCCGAGCCGCAGCGTCAAGTTGACCTGCTCTGGGAGTGGGGGCAGGGTTGGCACTCGCCCATCCCCCAGTGATGAACGCTCGTGCGCCCTCAGCCACTTCTTTATGAAGGGGGGAGGCAGTGAGAGAGATTTGCCTCCCCTGCCCTTGGGCCGCCCCTTGGCCCAGGTAACCAGGCCTGAGGGAGGCTGGGCGGGAAGCAGGTCAGAGGCAGGGGCGACCTTGCAGTGGCCTCTGTCTCGGCACGGGACCAGCACCGGTGCCAGTACCACTTTGCACCGTCCTCTGTGCAGACGCTGCGGACTCCGTCTTCCCCGCGTTTCCCCAAGTCCCCCGGTCACTGCTGCCTCGGAAACCGGTGACGGCAGCACCCGAGGGGAGTTTCTCTGCGCAGGGCTCCCAGTAACGTCTCGAACACTCTTGCAATCTTCCTTGGAAGGGTCTCCAGTTTGACCTGCAGGGTGTCGTTTGCCGGTCAGCCTTCCCATGTAAGTGTCTTTCCGATGCCAGCCTGAGGCGGGGGGCTCTTTGCCAGGAGGGCAGCTGTGCCTCACTTGGCCACCGTCAAAGGGCAGGAGTTCCGTCCTTCCGGCTGTGGGTGGAGGTAGTCGCGGCCATACCCACAGGTGGGCAGAGCGTCCCTGCAGGGCTGCCGAGCCACGGGGTCTGGCCTCCGTCCCTCTGGGCCGACCAGCGGCGAGCAAGAAGGATGCGGCCTTTGGCCGGGGGGCCCTTCCAGCCCCAGCTGCCCCGAAGGCCAGAGCTTCCCGTGGTCAGCAGCACCTCCAGCGCCCAGGGCCTCCGTGCTGCAGCCCTGAGGGGAGGGGCCGGGTGGGGGCGGCCACTCCAGCGTCACTAAGAACATTTCCTTTCCCTTCGCTGTGCGAATAATTGCTCTGAACCAAGTGGGAGGCTGAGGACGTGATTGTGTTGTGGACCAGGGTACTTTCTAGCTCTCGTTTTGCTCTCGTTTCGTTCAAAGCCTGAGGCATCATTCTTCATATTGAGTTGTTAATAATTAATTGTCACTATTTTTATTTCTCCACAAAATGAATCATTTATTTTCTATAACCTCTGCACATGATTGAATAGTGAAATGAATTTTTAAAATCAATTTTACAAGGTACTTTCAATCCCTTATCTCATGTCACTGATTTTCAGTCTTACTAAATAGCCAGTGAAGCTATGAAAATACAATCGGTAAAGACCAGGTGTTATAACTCTTAAATTTCTAAACAGGAACGAAAGCACAGGAATCCCATCATATGTCACCTTTTAGGCAGCTGTGTTGAGGCCAACACAGCATCAACAGGAAAAACACCATTCCGTTGTTTTCCCAGGAACGGTGCTGGGCCGCCGGTGCCAAGGGAGTCAGCCCTTCCACCGGCCCGCTCGGCAGGGAGCCTTTGACCCCTTGCTGCAGAGACGCCTCCTCATTTCTCCTCAGATGGGTTAACAATTTAACAGTGTGGTGTTGCCAGTTTAGAAGGATTCACCCGAGTCCTATTAAGCACTAGCATAATTGCCCCTCTCCTGGATTGGGCTTCTTTCAAATAGCTCCCTGCTTACACCAACACAGCTCTCCGAGATTCTGCAAAATGTCTGTGGCTGGTAATCCCTAATCACTTCCTAATGCTGATTGTCCACAGTTTCAGATAATATAAAAATGTAACAGCTTTTAAACATTCTTAGTATGGTAGTCACTGTCATAAGTAGAGATTAAAAAACTCATTTTCGTGAAATGCTTTAACATAAGGCCCTTCTTTTCCCAAGACTTCCCACTTGAAGATGCAACAAAGTAACAATTTTAGACAGCCTGAGCGACTTGGCTTCAATGTAGCATTCAGTCATTCGCCAGCCATTTGAACACACACCAGGTCCATGAACGTGGGAACCGGAGAAACAGGAAGGTCCACTGGGCATGACTCCTCCCTGCAAGGAGCTCGGGTGAGAGGCAACACAACCAGAATGTCACAGTGCAGTGTGTCCTCAGCCCAGGGCAGTGGGGACATGATCGTGGAATGACAACGCAGGGAAAGCTATGCCCAGGCAGAACAAGGGCCCCCCCAGGAGAGGTGGGGACGTGTGTGCTCATTTTGAAGGCTCATTTCACGAGGTGACTGGGCGCCATGCAGAGTCACTGGTGTTTTCTGGTGAGGGAGAAGCAGGAAGTGAGTCTGGGTACAGGTGGGCAGGCCTTCCCGAGACCGGCGCGGAGGCTGGCCCTGCATCCCGGAAGACGGGAATGAGACCGCGTTTGTACTTGTGTGTTTCCATCCTTCTGGAGGGGTGCGGAAGGAGCGGGGACAGTGTTTGGGGTGTCAACTAGTTTTTACTGGGGCCACATCAGCCTCACAGATGCCTTCAAAGGGCCAAATGTAATTTCACGTCCTTAACGGTTAAGGGTAGTTACATTTATACAGTTCTAAAATTAGTTCAGCCCTTTGAAGGCGACCTCGAGGTTGATGTGGCCCCCAGTGAAAATGACTTTGACACTGCTGTCCTAGGTGAGTGTGGAATGAACGCCTCGCTGGGGGCATGTGTTTGACAGAGGAGAGAAACTGTCTTCGTAAGGGACTGCATTTCTGTGGCCGGGGCAAAGCCGCCTAGGTGTGGTGAGGATGTGGGCGGAGACAGCCACTGGGGGGGCCCTCGGGGGCGGGGTCGCTTGCAGTGTCAGGAGTGCTGAGTTCAACTAATAAGAGAAGCCAGCAAATTACTTAGCTTCACGGGGATTTTTGCAAAATTTTTATTGTAATTACTACATAAACTAGCTTCATTAAATTCATGTGAAATCTTTACAGAAAGCACATTAAAATACGAGTAACTGTTTTCTTAATGTATTTAATGGGGAAAACCCCTTTTCTTTAAAGTAGCCGTGGTCTTACATTACTCTGAATAGTTTTCGTTTTTACAGCACAATAGAATAATGCCATTACAATATTCCTATGAGTGAACTCCTCGCTCTAAAACCCTCAAAAGTCATGGACTGGAACTGCTGCCAGGCCGGTCTCGGCCGCTGGGAGGGGTCTGCGGGCCACCCCGGCTCACCGGAGTGGCTTCGCCGGAGTGGCATATACAACTTGCTGTCGGCCTGTTGTTTTAATTCCATTGACGTTATTGTGCTTTTCAATAAAACAACTTTCTTCAGTTAAAATATATGGAGATGATTTTCTGCTACTCAAAGTTTGAAATGTAACCTGCCATTCATTAGATATGGGTGCTAGTGACCATGAATGCGGTGATGGTGCAATTTAAAATGATGCTCAAACCTGAGTGTGATGCGTGCTGCTTTAGGGGGAGGAAGCAAAGTGGGTTGTGATGAGAATGTCTTTTCTTAAAATATGGTCTACCGTATGTTTAAGATTTTTTTCAAGCGAGTAAGTGTGAAGCTGTCATCGGCTCTGTCCAGCGGTGCATGGACTGGGCAGCCTTCGCCCAGCAACCGGAAGGGCACCATGAGGGCGGTGTGAGGCAGAGGGCCCCGCACTCTGCGGCCGGGCAGGGCGGGGCAAGCGGGCTGTCCGCCCAGGGAGAGGAAGGGCAAGGGCAAGGGCAAGGGCGTTATTCCACTGCACCTTCTTTCTGGGGGGTGGGGGTCCCACCCCTGGTGCCGGGAGCTCCCTTTAAGTGAATTTTCCTTAACTGTCGTCATACAAAGTCATCTTTTCTTTGATGGTATCAAGCTCATTAAAATATAATTTAAAATATGTTTGAGTTCAACTGCATGAAGAGCTCTTTTTATGTATTGCATTTCTTCTGTTTTTAAACACACACATCAGTAACAAAACTTAACAATGCAATTATTTTCCTTCCAGATTTATTCCTCACGACATTATCTGCCTCGGGTACCTCCCAGTTCGAGATATGGAAAAATGTGGTAAGGAATCTTCTCTCTGAAGCATTTTTAAATGATGACTTTCAGTGAGAGCACACAGTTTTAGACAATAAAATGAAAGCGGTCGCTTGGTCGGTTGGTTTCGACAATAAATAGAACAACTTTAAGAGCCTTTGGTTGCATTGCTGCGTTCAAACTGCCGACTCTGCTGCTGAAGAGAATGCATCATCCAGCTCCAGGTCCTCGGCAGGCGCTCGGGCCGGCCCGCCAGTCTCACCACCGGGCCCACTGACGCGGCTGTTGACCGGGCACCTGCTGGGCTCTGTCAGCTGCTGAGAGGGGACTGTCGGCTCATCTGTCCCCACCATGCTGTCGTGAAGAAAAGCCTTTTTGAAAGATTAATTCCTCCTCTTTGCCATGAGACTTATATAAAGAAAAAAAAAACTAAGAAGAAAACAGGTACTAAACTTATCGCCTAGGTGACCAAGATTAAGGAGTCTTTCTGTGTGTGTGTGTGTGTGTGTGTGTGTGTGTGTGTGTGTGTGTGTGTTAAATTGCGAGTAGAAGATTCCCAAACTGGAGTCATGGTTTTGTTTTATTTGTAGCTGGATAGATTATATGAAAGAGCAATCAATGAAGATGAAACCAGCTAGATCTTAAAGCTGAGTTTCAGGCTCCATAGGAAAGGCAGGGCCTGAGGATGGGCCAGGCAGGCTGGCTGCCACACACCTGGTCCGGGCACTTCCCCCGGCTCCCAGGGGGCCTCCACCACGGAGGGCCGGCAAGGGCTCCACGCGGAGCCATGTGCAGGGGGGGCCCGGCGAGCCGTGGGCGCCGAGCAGGTTTTAGGTTCATATCTCTTCGTTTCCAGCTGTTTCCTGTTGACTGTCTTTTATTCCGTCCACATTAAATCCCTACCACTTACAGATTTTTATTAAGTTACTGGTGAAAACTAAGCCGACAAAAGGAATGCAAAGCACAAGCTTGTGGAGGGAGAGTCATTAGTAGCCGCCCCTGGTGGCGCAGGGGGAGGGGCAGAGCTTGGCTTGCAGGTGGCCAGGGCTCCTGGGCACAGTGCCGGGAGGTGCCCGCTGCCCCTGGGTGGAGACACTTCCAGTGGGAAACACTTGCAGGTTCAACAACCCAGTGGGCAGCGCGGTCCCTGGAGGCAGCGTGGAGGGCAGGTGTTCAGCTCTGGGCGAGGCACATTGGCCTGGGGGGAGGCGCAGATGCACTTACTCGCCCCTGCGCTGCGCTTGCTTGTGTTGCGGTGACGGGAGCCGTGCGTTGCAGTGATTTCTATGTGGCGCAGCAAAAGCCTAAAATTACTTATTCCTCGCTTTAGTTAAGACCCTGTATTTCACACTTGACCAGTGAATTACGATGGCCTAATCCAGAGTTCTCCGCCTTCCACAGGACGGGAGCTTCTCTCTCAGCACCGAACTTCAGGCGCCGCAGGCCCTGGTGGTGGTCGGGCAGTCGGCCTTCGCAGACTTCGGTAAGGCCTTCCTTCCACCTTCCGCTCTCCCCTCCCTGCGACCTGGTCACTGTCCTCCCGCGCACCCGAAGTCACTGCAGCAGGAGTGTAGAGTTGCCTCACGGGGATTTCGACGCGGGTCTCCATGCTGTACCGGAATTCAGTTCCGTTGCTTTGCGTATCACTTCAATCTAGAGCACATTTCTGGTGCCCAAGGTGTGGTCTTCGGCGCAGACCGTCAGGTGATAGGACACGTGACATTATTCTTTCACTTGCTGATTGACCTGAGTGGCCGGGTCAGTGACGGCAGGCCCCCGAGAGCCTGTCTGCAGGGCGGTGTGGTGGCCCAGCCTGTGTCCGGGGCTGCGCGTGGGCTGGTCAGTGCCCTGCCCTCAACAAAGTTGTTAGCAGCTTTACTTTAAATTTTTTTAAATTGCACTAAACTTAGACATTTACAAGTTGGTATTTTTAAATGTGCAGAATATAGAACGTAGTCGGGTAAGAAACACTGTATCTCTTCCCAGTTTTTAATAACCCGAGGTGAGGTATGAGTAGGCGTTTAACTTACCGATAAACTTTAAGTGAGTTCCCACAACGTCTGCTTAAAAGTCCCCGTGTTCTTAGTCGGGTGTTATCAAAAAATAAGATTGTGTGAGTCCCAAAAAGCAGACGGCCCCGAATATGTTTGTGAATATTAATATGCACAGAATGTGCATTTTCCTGCATATTTGAACAAGTCTGAGAACTGCATCTTGCCCTTTACCACCCCGCCTCCTCCTCCCCTTGAAGCAGGTCCTGGGAGGTGACTGACAGGCGGGAAGTCCGCGTGACCCCAGAACCTCGTCATTCATTATGCTCCAACGCGCAGACGCTGCAGCTCACAGGCAGCGTCCCCGTCCGGAACTGCGGGCTTGGGCGGCTCCCAGCTCATTCGGGTGGTCTGGGAATGGAAGTTTTTTACAGCTATGATGAAGTTTTTAGCTCCTAACATAAAATATTAAAAGATGTTTTTAAAATCCGCTCTAAAAGTAGGCCATGCTGGTATATCCAAAATGATGTGGTAGCATGGTTCGAAATCGCCTCAGGATCCTTTAGCAAATAAAGAAAGGAAATCACCGCAGTCACACACTGCTGAACGGCGGGGACATGTCCTGGGAAGTGGCGGACAGGTGGTTCCGGCGTTATTCAAACGCTAGGCTGCGCAGACCGGCACAGCGTGCGGCCTGAATCCTGCAGAAACGCAGCGCGATGGGGAGTGTGTGTGTATCTCAGCCATTCTAAGCTCCATATGAAAAACGAAGAACGGCGTGCCGTGTGTGGCGCTTACCGCGAGTGGAGCCTGCAGGACCCGAGGTGGCTCTGGGCCAGCGAGGGCACATGGATGCGGAGGCCCGTCGTCACCGCGCACTGCCGTAGACGTCACAAGCTCTGTGCGCTTCAGCACCGCGGAATCCGCGAAGTAACCGGATTACATGGAGCACCGTGGGAGGAAATGAGGCCTTCAGGAGACGTGGTGAGCGCGAGGCGTGTGAGGCAGCTGCTGGCGTTAACACAGGGTCGCAGCGGGCCCCGTCTTTCATGAGTAGGACGCCCTGAACCCGCGGTGGGAAGTGCAGCCTAGTGAACACAGGAGCCGCAGCACAGCCGCGTGTAACCGAGCGCGGTGCTGTAGGGACTGCACGCGCGTCCGCGATGGGCGGCACGGTCGGCCCGTCCACACGCCCACGTTGCGTGGCGCTGTGACGTGGCTGCGGCGTCACTCGGTGGCAGGTTTTTCCAGCTCCCTTTCCTCCTGCAGGACAGTCGTGCACAGGGTTCGTCGTCGACCAAATGTCGTCATGTGACGAGTGACTGTTCAAACTAATAATACTGTTATTTCCTTTATAAGACAAGGAAATACTTTCCCAGAAATCAGCCAAATAAAACCCCACAGGGCCCCAGCGGCTCTGCCTCAGCGGAGCATCTGCGGGTTGGAGAACCTGTGGACCAAAGGGTCACAGCTTTGCTTCCGGGCAGGGCACAGGTTCGCCTCCTGCTGCGGGTTCGATCCCTGGTCGGCGTCTCTCTCTCTCTCTTCCCCCCCTTCCCTACCTCTCTAAAAGCCATGAAAACATGTCCTCCAGTGAGGGTAAAAATAAAGTAACTCCATAGAATGTTACAGAACCAGTGAAAATGATGACCCTGAAGATTCTGTTAGCAGAGCAGAACAAGATGTTGTGCAGCATTATCAGCCTTTTAAAAGACGGACTAAAAAGAAATAGATCGAATCACAATGGCTGTGTTAAAGCAGAATGACAGGTTAGTTCCTGTTTTCCAGATTTTCTGTTACGTGTTCCGACTGATTTAAATGTTAATTTAATAATGAAAAAGCCAATTATAAAAGACCAGTAGTTAATAATGGCAAGAAGTGTCCTTAAAGCGTTGTTGGGTTTTTTGTCGCGCTGCTTCTGAGCCTTATCCTCCATTCGCCCCTCGGAGCTCCCCGACCCCTCCTCTTGAGAAGGTCTCGCACCTGCTCCCCGGCTCTCATGCCGGCGTCAGGCCCCTGTTATGGCGGAGATAGCGCACCCGCTGCGTGGAAGGCAGCCGGGGTCTTTAAGGGGAGGGCCTTGCCTTTAGGAAATTTGCGGCCTAGGTAGGAAGACAAAAGGCAAACATGTAAAAAAAACCAGCAGGATAAAGACACAAGTAGCTGCTGCTGTACAGGGTACACCAGACCGCACCCCACGGTCCCGTGTGAAGTTGGTGCCTCAAACAAGGCGCCGGCAGGGACTCCAGTCCAGGCTGAGCGAGACCAGGGCTCAGGGGGCACGGGGTTTGTCTGGGCTTCAGAGGCCGTCCGCGGGCGGCTCGGGTAGATGGGCGTGTGACCCAGGGGTGAGGCGTGTGGCCGAGGGGCATGGGGCTTGAGTAAGCCAGCCTGGCTCAAGCAGAGTGTCTGTAAAAGTGTGGAGAAGCGAAAGTGGACTGTGGACACGTGGGGTGACCTAGCGAGTCACAGAGGGGCCGAGTGCTGCTGTCCTTCCGTGGAAGCAGGCGGAGGCCGCAGGGACGTTGGGACACTCTGTGTTAGTGTCCTTTTGGATCAGCGGTGGAGAGCACAGTGGGGCAGCGTCTGCTGGTCCCGTGGGTTCCCCAGAAACCAGAATTTCCTGGGCAGGGAGTAGGGACTCGGGAAGGTTGTTTGAACTCTGAGGTGCCTGAGGTTTTTTATATCAGAGGAGAGGCAGATGTAGACTGCTTTAACGTGCGGACTTGAAAGACACCCTAGACAGGGCTGGCTGGTGTCCCCGAGCTGGGCGTGGTGGCTGCTGCTGCTGCTGAGGGGCGGGGCCCGCCTCCTGCTGGCCTCTGCAGCCCCCAGGCGCCTTCCGCAGGTCGGCGGGCATCTTCCGGGAGACACACTGCGTGGACGCCCCTTCTAAACTGTGTATCGAGTCTTTTCCCAGGTGGGTCAGAATGTCAAATTCTAGAATTTCTACAAATTAGGTGATATGTCTTTATTAAATTACAGAGGACCAAAAATCAAGAAGAATAAGGTACATTTTTTTTCTATGAAAGAAAAAATGACACACAACCAGACTTAGAGTAAACACGTTTTAACTTTGTATCTAATGCCAGACGTACTGGAAATCAATGAAAAGCTACAACGCTGGAGAGAGGACAGAAACCCTCTCGGAACACGAGCGTTTCCTGCAGATGGAACCGCGTCGCGACCCTCGTAATACACACACTTATCGGTCCCAATCTGCTGACGCCTGTGCATCGATCACCATCATTCTCCCGCTTCATTCTCCAAGTGGAGGGGGGCCCGGCTTCCTGTTGGTGAAGCCTGGGCATCGTCAGTCAGTCCCCAGCACCACCCTGTAGAAAGCAAAGGTGCTAGTGAAAAGTTGTCTTTCACGACCGTTATTCACATTTTGGAAAATACTGAACCCCTTAAAGGCGGTGTTTCGGGTGGTCGAGAGCAAAGCATGCTCGGTGCAGTTTCACTCTTGGGTGTGTTTGGAAGCTTTGGGGAGACTTGCTAAGAGGACATGCAGCCAACCCGGTCGAGGCCGGGTGACTGAGCCAGGGCCCCCCCCCCAGGGGGGTGGAGGGCAGGGGTCATATCCAGGCTGGACATATCCAGGGGTCATGTCGGCGGAGTGGCTGTTGGGGAGAGAGGAAGAGCCGTGAGGGTGGCTTCTAGGTCTGGGGCTGGAGCCGCTGTCCGCAGGCGGCCCCTTCCCAGGGGCAGGGGTGGGGCAGGAAGCCGAGCTCTGCAGTCGCTGGTGGCTCTGTCTTGGACAGGTCAGCTTTGAGGGGTCTGTTAGACCCCAAACCCAGATACCAGTGGGGAACAGAGGCTCTGAAGAGACAGGGTTCGACCTCAGCATAGCCCCGTTTAAATGCCTTTAGAGGATGGGTAAGGAATGAGGGAGTGCCGGACTCACAGGACCCCCGCTTCCCACCCTTGTCAGAGGAACTGCACTCCAGCCCACGGGCCTCTTAGGCATTCTTCCCACCGGCCAGGCGCAAAGGGCCCCACCCCCGCCCCAAGGTCCTTTGCCTTTGTTCATTCCTCTGCTTAGTTCTCTTCCTCCAGTGTTCCTTGTGGCTCACTCCCTCACCCTCTTCTAGTCTTGCTAAAAATGCCGCCTTCTCCAGGAAGCCTTCCCTGACTGCTCTGTTTAAAGTGGGACCTCTTTCCCTCCTCCTTTTCCTCCACAGCCGTGGTCAGCACCCATGCCAGTGGGGCGCCCTCTCCAGACTCCGCCCCACGGCTGCGCTTGGTTCATGGCTGCAACCCAGACCTGCAGCACGGCAGCCCCATTGCGAACACTCGGTGGATGATTCCGAACAAATGAGTAAACGAAAAGCTTCCTAGTTAACTAACTGGTTTTAAGACTGGAGCCCAAATCTAGGACATGTCTTAAGTATCTTCAACCATAATTCTCAGACAAAACTTCTGAATGTCACTCACAGGATAAGGACTGATCTAACATTAATTTTCCTCATTTTGATTGAAGTATGTGATTGAACTAAAATTGCTGTAAATGTCTAAAACAGATTGGTGCTGATTTAGTGGGAGACATCCTAGGTCCATTTGAACTATGATTCTGAGTCTTTCTATTTCCATGTTCTAATTCCTGAATTCTGAGAATGTGCATTGCCCTGAGCATCTGTGCCGTTTAATACTCAAGCGGACCACCACACTTGCACGGCTTCTGAACACCCTTTGGACGGTTCCAGTGCTCCCTTCGATCAAAGTAAAAGCAACCAGGTCAAACAGTCCTTGCTCCGACCTGCGGGACCTGTGTCCCCCCCTCAGCCCGCCCCATCCCACCATCCCACCAAAGAAAGACGATACTGTTAGAAATTCCAGGTCGGACCAAGTGTTCTCTGTACACACCTTGCCACGTGGCACGTGAAGGCAGGTCGGCAGCCTTCGGGTCTTCTTCTCACATGAGCCCAGCTCCTGCAAATGTCCTTCCCATCCCTCGTCCCCACAGTGATTGCGGGCAGCGGTTGGCGTAGCAAAAGCCATCAGGGCCTGGGTTCCCCGGAGCCTGTGAGGCGTTGGTCCTGGTGAGTCACACAGGCCAGGTGCGGTTCTGAGAAACACCTGGGTGCCTGCTGGGCTGTCCACGCCCGGTCAGCGTTACGCTTCACGCTCGTGCCTTTCAGGGAGGGTGTGTCGCCGCCACTGGTGCTGATCCTGTGGATCACCAGTAATTAAACTCAGTGGGAAAGTCCACCTGTCATTTAGGCGAAAGGCGCCTTGCTGAGGTCCACTCCTGATGGCTGGACTCCCCCCACTCGGCCTTCGGTCCCCTTTCCCTGAGCACAGTGTTGGAGCCGTGACACACTGACTGCGCTTCCTCTGCCTCTCGGTGCCCGAGCCTCCGCCTGCACCTGGCGGACGTGTCTTCGCCTTTAACCCGCCCACACCTTCCCCAGGGAAAGCGCGGCCTCGGCCTTGGCCTTGGCCTTGGCTGATCAACGCACCCAGCCACGGCAGACACGTCAGGGCTGGAAGCAAGGCGCCTCGAGGCCCCACACTTAAAGCCTAGTGACAACTCGAGGGATGGTCCCTGTAGGGGTTTCGCTCCCGGACATCAAAACCTGTGCGTGCCCCTCCCGTCAGTACCGGGACAGTGGAAGGAAGGGAGCACCAAGGTGGGACAGCTGCCTCCAGTCCCCTGTAGCTTGTCCTGGGGACCTTAGCAGGTCTCGTGCAGCTTTTCAGAAACCCCGCAGTTGGGAGTGATGTCCCGACCCCCTTCACTGGCTTCTTTATTGATGAAAACTGATGGCTGCTGTTTAGAAGCCGGGGGCTGAAGTTCACGCAAAAGACACTTAAAAACACACGTAAAGATAAATTATGTGTAAACACACATTTAAAATATGCCACATAATCATGGGTTACTCTCGACAGGCTTGTTTTTCTCCTGTGGCAGCAGTGATAATTATGTAAATAAGCCAAGAGCCACATTTTTTAAATTGATGATTTTAACAGAGTCTGAAATGGGGTCTTCTTTCTAGTGCTGGATAAATATTTAACCGCAGAAAAGTGAGCAATTTAAAGCAAGAAGCGGCCCAGGTAATGGGAAGCCAGGGTCAGAGGAGTCTTTCTAATTGGATCCCATTTCCTGCAAAGTTACACATCACGTTTTTCCATCTCTCCAGACCTGCGTGAGCTCAGGACAAACAGGAGGTGGACCCTGCGGTGTGAGGCCGCTTGGCGTCATGGCCACTAATAGACTCGAGTTTCCTTTGGCAGATGGAGACGGACACATGGATCACTTGCTCCCGGGCTGCGAGGACAAAAGCTGCCAGAAAAGCGCCATCTACTTAGCGAGGTCTGGGACCCAGCAGGTACGGCAGCCGGGCTTGAACATGAACGGGCTCCCGTCCGTGCAGAATTCTCCCAGGTTAGAAAAGGCGTCTGAAGATCAGAACAGAGAGAAAGCAAAAATCAATCACCGAGCCCCTCACTTAGTGAAGTTCATTCCACTCTACTTTTTGATTCGTTTATTGAGAGACAGGTGCTGTTAGAATTATTTCTAGTGAAGAAAGCCCATTCTTGATCCCGTAATTAAAGGACATGTTCGCGCTTTATCTGCTGGGAAAAGGTAAAGCACTGTAACCTGACAGAGGGTCGGGCGGGACGCCGCACCTGCATGTTTGCAAGGGCGGCCTTGCTTCTGTTTGTGGTGCAGGGTCTACTCCGCCCCCTCCCACCAACGCCCCCGCAGCTAGTAGGTGAGTGGTCCAGAGTCAGAGGGTCACAGCCCGGGACCGTCTGGGAGTGACAGGCAGTGACACGGGGAGTCCCTCCGTGTTGGGAGCACCCGAAAGTGGAACTACCCTGTTCTCTTTTCTACTTGGGGCTGTAAAGGATAGAATGACACCCTGGCTTTCGCAGCCCCTTATAAATAGAAACATCACGTTTTACACTAAGACACTGAAGAAAGCAAAACAGGTCTTTATGGTCAACAGTGTGTGGTGACCAGAGGGAAACGGGGTAAACGGTGATGGAAGGAGACTTGGCTTTGCACGGCGAGCACGGACATTACATACGGGTGACACGTTTATACATACGTTCATAAACTGTACACCCGAGACCCACATCGTCTTATTAACCAGTGTCGCCCAGTAAATTCCGTAAAAAATTTTTAAAAGAAAACAAGTCTTCCTATATTCAGCATTCTAAAAACATAACTATTACACTCCTAAGTCTTATTATCTTGAACTTTTCAAAACTCAGAAGCCCTGACGCCATCTTCAGGTGTCAGGCCACGGGGGCGGAGCTTCGGAGTGCGCAGTCGCCCCTCTCGGGAAGGCAGCGTCACAGTCCCCTGGTGACCCGCAAGGACGTCACGTCAGTGAGGAGACTTCTTACTGTGCGGACACAGGAGCCCTAATCTTCGTTAATAAGTCCCAGCCTCATCGGGGGTGGGGGGTGGCCTGGTGTTTTGGGGCGTTTCCCGTCTTCCAAAACGAAACTTTTTTTTCAGTCAAGTGAAACATTAAAACATTTTGATGACATTTAGGGGTTTTTTTTTGCTTTGTGAAAGATGGAAAAGCGGGTGAAAGTGCAGACAAATTTCTGAGCAGCTTGTTCTTCGTAAACTTGTCTTTGTCACTGAGTTTCCTCAGTTCCTGTGGCAGACCACGCCCAGAAAGTGTTGGGGGAGACGGGGCGGGGGGGGCCTGCGGCTGCCGTGTCCTATGCAGGAAGCCATTTGTAATGTAGTTCACCTGCCCACAAGGAAAAGCCGTCAGGGGTGCACTGTGCCTGCCTGTGCAGGGCCAGCTGCGCCCTGCTCTGTGGACGTCCCCAGGTGGCGCGCCCATGCCCCCACTCTCAGCTGGGGCACCACTGTGATTTTAGTGGCATCTCGTCCACACGTTAGACTTTCAGTGCTCAGTGGGTTATTAAAAGGGAAGACTTGGGCATTAGGAAGAAAGGGGTTTCCAAAAGCTTGTTTAGGAATCAACCTGTTCTCTCTGGTCTCTTCAGTATAACGAACACAGAAATAGAGTTTGCTGAGATTGTAGCCTCCGGCCCTTTTGGGGACGAGGCCCGCTGTCCTGGGCAGGCGGAGGTTGCTGGGGCTGGCACTGCCTGGCTCCGGGTGAGGGCTGGGGTCGCCGCCAGGTGTGACAGGCACGGCCGGAGGGCCAGGTGCTGCACTCAGAACTTGGCCGAGTTTGACTGCTCCTATACTGGTCCCCTGAAGGGACAGCAGCTGCAGAAACTACAGTTTGCTCTAATATTAAAAAACAGTGATTCGAGGTTGTGTTTCCAGTAAACACAGATTTTCAGGTGGGCAGTCCAACCGTGTCATTGTTAACGTCGTGTTGGCCCTGAAGTTGCGTGGTTCTGTGAAATGCCTTCTCGGGCCCCACGTGCCAGTTCAGAGGAAGACACCTGGCGATCAGTCTGACGGGGCCTTTTCCTTCCAGGGTATCAGTTACCCGTTCCTCAGAGTGAACAGTAACCCCCGCCACATTGTAGGATGAAGAACTTCGGAAAGATGATTTTCTCTTGAGGACTTTAATGGATTGCTTGTTTTGCAAATGCTGAACTTTTTTCTACAATAACTTTAAAGTCTCCTCGTCTGCTCCTGTTCACAGTGGGTTCCAGTCTTGCAGGACTTCAGCAACAAGGGCACGCTCTGGGGCTTCGTGCCGCCGGAGCAGGAGCAGCGCCCAATGGAAACGCCCTTCCCCATCACCCTTCACATCGGCGACCACAACATGGACGGCTACCCGGACGCCCTGGCCGTGCTGAGGAACACGTCCGGGAGGTAGGGGGGCGCAGCGGGCGGGCGCGGTGGGGAGACAGAGTCATGGCGACGTGCGTAACAGCAGCAGCTACTCGAGGTGTGCCCTTAAGTAGGAAACACGACGGGCCCAGATCCCGTGTCCGTACATGGTCCCTGACCTTCTCCCAGCTGCTGAGAATGCCCGTTCTTTTCCGGTGTATTTTCCACAGAACAAAGTGGACATCTACTATAGAGTAAAAAACCTATTTGTTATTCAACAAAATTGATCTGTAAAAGGTCAAACCTTTTGCTCACTAAATGACCCCTTACTGTTTTGGCTTTTGTTTGGACCCGTTCTATTTTGAGGCTGAAGACCACGGTGGTTGAAAGCTGAGCCTGGGCCTTACTCTCAGCCCGGCAACGGGCCAGTGGTGTGACCGTGTTGGGCGGGGGGGGGGGGCCTCGGCTCCTCGTCCGGGCGGTGAGAGGGGAAGGTGGGCCTCTGCTGTGGGGGCGGCGGGAAGGGAGGCGGCGGTGAGCAAAGCACTTACGTTGCTACGTTGCTACAGGGGCCTGAACAGACCTATTAACTTATTCATAACATTTATTCCTGTTTTCACAATACTCTCCAGCAGTGTTTTGTCCCTGTCTTCATCGACCTCCTGTGCACCTTCGTTGGGTTGCTCCTGGATAACGGGCTCCACGGTCACTGCCAGTGAGGCTCTTTCTGTCCCTTTCTCAGGATCATGATGGGCGGGCGGGGTCGCGGGCTTTGGTGCAGGGTCTCGCATTCACTGATCTCGTTTCCGTCTCTGCTCTGAGAGCCTGCGGCTTCTCTGGCCTGTCCCAGGCACACGGTCCCTTCATTTGGAAACAAGGGTGGTGAGATCACTGGTCACACGGCCCTTCTCCGTTCCGGTCTCTGGTCCCACCGTGCGGGCCAGACGTGTGTCGTCGTGGTGACACTGTTGCCTAGCATCATCGACGTGTCCGTGACTGCACGTTATGGTTCTGTTCAGAAGAGTAGTTTATGGGTTTTTTAAATATTTTTATTTATTTATTTTTCGAGAGAGGGGAAGGGAAAGAGAAAGAGTGGGAGAGAAATATCAATGTGTGGTTGCCTCTCATGCGTCCCCTGCTGGGAACTGGCCTGCAACCCAGCCATGTGCCCTGACTGGGAATCAAACCGGCATACTCTGGTTCACAGGCCCGCGCTCAATCCAATGAGCTACACCAGCCAGGGCAGTAGTTTATGTTTTAATGTGTAACAGAGGCTGGCATGACTTATTGGAATGCAAACATGGCATTCTGCAATTTAATAGAACATATATTTGCCTAACAAACACAAATCATAGAAATTCAGAAAGTACAAATAAAACAATAAATTGAAATCATCCGTAAGCACATCACCCAGAGATGATCAGTGTCTGTGTTTTGGTATTTGGCAGAATCTCAGTTCAGGCTTTAAAATCAGTCTAAAAATGGCACAATTGCTCTTAAAAATCCATCCGATCATGTATACAAAATAAACACATGCACACTTGTGCAGTCTTCCCTGTCTGCCCTGCGAAGTGGAAAAGCAGCAGCCTCGCGAGAGTCCGGTTTCCTGGCCTCCTCACAGGTGGCTGCGGCTGGCGAGCGGCCGAGGACGCTGGACGACACTCAAGGGCCCTCTCGCCGCGGCCCGGCGTCGGCGCAGTCGGACTCGGTCCCTCCCGCGTGTGTGGGCCTCCTGCAGCAGGGCGAGGTGCCCCTTCCTGCTGATGTGAGCGCCTGTGCCCGTGTAGGACGGACCGTAGTTCATGAGCCCTCCTCTTGGGTATTTCCTTGCTAGCGTTTTTGTCTGGGCCCACAGGCAGCATTTCAAACACAGCGTCTTCCGAAATACAAGGCCTGGGGTCTGGGGTCCGAAATACAAGGCCTGGGGTCTCGCCCTCCGGGGAAGCACGCATCTTACCCATCCCGAGCCCTTTCAGGAGGCGGACAACCCACGTCAACGAAACAGAGCAGAACAGCAGCTCGACTCACGCTCAGGTGCACGTGGGAGATGTAGCAAAGGACCTATGAACTTGAAGGGAAGCCCAGAATAACAGAATCCTGAGGCATGAAATCCACGTTCGCCGAGCCTTTGAAAGGCTGCTGTTCTCAGGTCTCACAAACTAGTCCCCTCCCTTCCGAGTAAGGGGGTGTCAGAGACCAACTGGTGCCCAAAGCGGCCATCACTCTGCACGTGGCCCGGCGGCGGAAGTCACCCAGGAGTCACCGTGTGCGGGCCGAGAGGGGTCCCGGCTGCCTGCACTCTGCCCTCTGGCCTTAAGTCAGTAGCTGGGTGTTCACGCAGACTTCCCGGTGTCTCCGGCAGGTGGTCTTGCCCTCTGCTGTCTCTTCTCAGTGTCCTCGACGACACAGGTGGGACCGTGAGTACCTGGCACAGACACACGGCTTATCAGTGACGTTCGCTGTAAACTCCATGCTCGCAGCTGTGCCATGACTTGGCAGTTTCCAAGTCGTGATTGTTTCAAGAAACTGGGAGTTTCATCCCGCCCCCCAGGAAGGGGGGAAGGAGCATCGGGCGATGTGCGTAAACCCTGAATTGGGCGGCTCGGGGTCCCTCGAGGCCCGGGACCGACGAGGAGGACAGTTTCAGTGTTACAGGAGCATCAGCTGCTGTGCAGCCGCTTTTTCTGTCAGTTTTAGTTAATTAAACGTTTTGTCCTCTGCTCAATAAAGGGTTTAATAGGTGATTGTGTGTACATTCCTGGTTTAATCTCATTTTAATGCATTTTCATTGATGGGCTAATGCCCTTTTTCAAAGGCAGTAGTTATCTGAACTCAGCACGTTGTCAAACTTTCCCCAAGAACATAAAGTTAAAGCCTGAATGTGCCCCACTGGCATCCAGGTGCCTGGACGTTGCCTTCCCTGAAGCGCTGACTGCTCGGCGGAGCTGGGGCAGCAGGCGGAGCAGACCCCGGTTACGGATCGTTCCGGATCGGGTGCCACTGACGTCCCACTGCACGTGGGTGTGGCTGGCGCTCACCCACAGATAACGTGCCCAGGCGAGCCAGGGTCCAGAGGAGCCGCCTGCCTGGAAGGGATGGTTCTGGTCCTGCAGAACTGCCTGTGGGGGAGGGGTGGTGCACCGCCCAAGGCAGAAACCTGCGCGGGGAGGCGTCGGTGTCACTGGCCGCTCTCCGGGCGCTTTCAGGCGTTGCTCCTCTCCTGCCGAACGCACACGGGCTGCTGCTTCTCTCCTCGCTGGGAGGTGCGTCCCTTCCATCGTCCCGGTGTCGCCCGTCTTCCGAGGACCATCCACAGGCTGTTCAGCTGTCGCCCGTCTTCCTTCTCTTCCTCACCTGCTCTGTCTGAGACAACTGACAGATAAAGTGCCGTTGCGTTTCATCTTATGTAATAAAAACACAGATACTGTGATACCTAGAAGGAAAGTGGAGCGGCCACCAAATTAGCCAACGTAGGGACACCTGTGAACACAGGCAAAGCGAAACATGACAGGTCTGAGCTCTTCTGGGCCAGGAACGTGAGCGTTCAGGGGGCCTCGCTCTGCGAAGGGGCTTCCTCCCTCCATTCAAAGAGCACGTGCTGCCTGTCCCCCAAATGTCGTCGGCACTGCGACTGCATCGGGGGGACATGCGTCGCCGTCACCCAGAGCCCCGGGGAGCCTTACTCTGAATCTCAGCCCAGCACCCGTGTGCATGCCCCTCACTGCCAGTGGTCTGTGCTGCGCAGACACGTCAGCGAGCTTCAGCGTCTCCAGGTGTAGGTTTTATTTTGTTCCGTGAACTTAGCTGAGGGCTCCGCGTTTCCCAGCAGCTGCAGGCATAGGCTTCAGAGCGGCAATTCAGAGCAATTTGTTTTATTTTTAGAGAATCCCTAATGGACTTGTTCTTCTTCCTGATGTGTTTTTCTTCTGTGTGGAGAAGCACTGCCTTCCTCAAGTCCATACAGAAAGATGGACACGCACCCAAATCACAGCCCCTTCCTCCCAGGGAACTCGGCCAACAGTGGCACTGGGGAACTAGGAGGAAGAGCGTTCGTTGGGGACGGTCTAGACGAGCAGTGACTGAGGGGGACGCACGGCTCTAAGGGCAGCCAGGGGGAAAGTCACACTTCCAGTCCCACGACCCATCAGCCCTGCCCTCAAGGGAAATAAGGCAGACGCGTGCAGTCCGTTAACAGCCCAGGCCAGCCCCAGCTTTGTCAGCCGGGGGTCTGGGGGGGGGGCAACGCCGATTCCGCAGGGCGCTTGGCAGGCGAGGCTCTCGGCGTGTCGGTGCCGGCCTGCTCGGAGAAGACGCCAGACCTGCGCGTTGTAAACCCCGCGTCACGGAAATGTTTCCCACAGGTGTTTTATGGGTTAAGATTACCCATTACTCCTGTTTATTAGCAGCTTTATTGAGCTACAATTCAACGCACTCACTCCACACAACTCAGTGGCTTTTTGTGTATTCGCAGGGTTGTGTGCCTGTCACCGCAGTTCATTTTAGGGCATTTCGTCGCCCAGAAACGCAGCCCACTCGGCCGGGCCATTGCTCTCGGTCTCAGCAGCCCTGGGAAACCACTCCTGTTTTCCGTCCCTGCAGTGTTGCCAGGCCTGGGCGGTCCCCATAACCCAGCCCCCCCCCCCGGCGGGGGGCGCTCTGCCACAGGCTCGGCCCAGCCCGCTGTCTTCGAGGGCCCACCAGACAGCAGGCAGCGTGTGCCGACGGGCACGTCCTCCTGTGGCTGAGCATCCGCTGTACGGATGTGCCGCGTTGTGCCTGTGGCTCTCGGGTGGATGTCGACCAGCGTATGTAACACTGCTGGGAACGTCCGTGGACAGGTCTCTGTGTGCACAGGTGTTTTCCTTGACCTGTGCCTGGGGGCGGAGTACCCCAGGAGCGGACCTCTGCGTTTCAGCACTTGAGGCGGTGCGGCCAGACTGCGTCCCGGGCGCCTGCCCCTGTGTGTGTCCCCCCCCATTGGCCTGTGTCCGGCCCCCCGCCCCCCACATCCTCTGTGGCCTGGGGGTCACTTGTGTATCTTCCTTGGCTGATTGTCTGTCTAGACCCTTTGCCCGTTTTTTAGAATCCACTTGTCTTTTTATTACTGTGTTGTAAGAATTCTTACATGTTCTCCACGTAAACCCCTTGTCAGACACCTGACTTGCAAAATGTTCCTCCTGTTCCACGGGGTCCTTTGAAGCACAAATGTTTTTCATTTTGTTCGTGTCAACTTTATTTTTCCTTTTGTGGCTCATGTATTTGGGTTTTCTCATGAAGGAGTCCGTGTATTTTAACAGCTTTACTGAGGTCTGATTGGCAGAGTAAACCACACGTCTTCAAAGTGGAGTGTCGGGAAGTCCTCACAGAGACCGGGAAAAGATCGCTACGTGCCCATCGCCCGCAGAAATTTCCTGGTAGCCCTTGGCCACCACCCTTCCCCACCTTCCGCTCCTTCATCTTTCAGGCTCCACCGCCCACTCCCCGCCCTGTAGATAGACCAAGTTCCCTGCCATTCTGTGTACATAGCCACGCGGGAGATGCCCTCACACCTGCGCTCTTTCACTCGGCATCATAATACCGGGACGCTTCCGTGTTTTTACATGTGTCTTTAGTCCATTGCTTCTCTTAGCTGAGGCGTATTTCAGTGTATGGATATATCCATCCACAGGTTGATGGGCATCTGGGTTTTCACCCGGTTTTGTCCTGGCACGGAATCTGCTCCCAACACCCCTGTGACAGGCAGCGGGTGCCCCGGCTCTGCGCTGCCCTTGGGCGAGCACCAGGGGTGGGAGGGCTGGGGGTGTTGGAAGGGGCCTGTTTATTACCTTTTTAAGAAAATGCCAAATAGTTCCAGTCGCGTCACATGTTCTTAAGCATTGCTGTCATCGGTCTTTTTTAACTTCAGTTATTCTGTTTGCAGTTTATCTCCTTGTAGTTTTAATTTTCGTTTCTCTAATAGCTGATGGTTTTTGACCATCTGTTAATGTGGTCATTTGTCTTTCATGTCTTTGTAGGTGGAGAATCTGTTCAAGCCTTTCCTACATTATATTTGGGATGTTTGTTTTCTTATTTTTGCGTTTTGGAAGTTATTTATATGCAAACCCTTTATTAGCTTGTGGTTTGCTCACATTTTCTCTGGCCTCTGGCTTGTCTTATCTTCTCTAAACGTGTCTTTAAAGAGCAGAAATGCTCAATTTTGAAAATGTCCACTTTCTCGGTTTTCTCTCGGTTCGTAGCTCGGAAATCCCTGCCTAATTAAATCACGGAGGCTTCCTTCTACGCTTTCTCCTGGAACGTCTACAGTTCTACATTTTACATGTGGGTCTACGGTCCGTTCTGGGTTACTATTTCTATATGGCGCAAGGTGCAGGCCCAAGTTCATTTTCGGTGAAGTGTTCCGGCACTGTGTATTGAAAAGATTCCTTTCTCTGCGCAATTGCCTTTGGCACTCGGTGAAACCAGCTCTGCGTCTCGGTGGGTGCGTTTCTGCACTCCCCGCCCAGCTCTAACGACCTCCGCTCCATCCTGCGGCCGCACCACGGGGCTGGATTCCTGCTGGCTGGTAACGAGCAGTGCATCCAGACAGTGTAAGTCCTCCAGCTTTATTCCTTTCCGACATCGTTCTGTCAATTTCACATTTGGGCATTTTCCATGAATTTTAGGATCAGTTTTTCAATTTCCGCAAAAAATAAAGTACCAAGATTCTGATGGATATTGCATTGAATCTGTAAATCAATACAGGGCTTGTTGACATCTTAACAGTGTTGGGTCTTCTGACCCATGAAGTGCATGCGTGCGTGCATGTATCCTTTTGTTGTGGGTCTTTAATTTTTCCTGGCAGCCTGCCGTAGTCTCCAGTGTATAGTTCTGTGCATCTTTTTTCAGATACCTAAGGTTTCCTCTTTTGATACTGTTATCACTGGTGCTTCCTTATTTCCGTTTCTGATTGTTGTTTGCTAGCATGTAGAAATGCAACCGACTTTTGTATATTAATCTAGTGCTCTGCCACCTGGCTCAACTCATTCATCCTAGTGGCATTTCTGGAGCTATTACAGGGTTTCCGAAAAGGTGGTCAAATCACCTGTAAGTAGAAACAGTTTCCTTCTTCCCTCCCGCTCAGATACCTTTGTGTTCCTTGCCTTCCTACGACGGACGGCGGGAAGCTGTCGTCCGCTGTGGCTTTCCTTCTGCGTGGGCGTGGCCAGAGCAGACACCCCGGCCCGGCCGGGACACGGGCCTCCCTGGGAGCGCGGCGCCCGCTGCCGGTTCCTGCAGACGCCCTGAGTCACGGGAGGAGGCAAGCACTTTCCGTCCCTGGTTTGCGCAGAGTTTGGACCAGAGATGCACGTCTGATTCCATCGAAATTTGTTACCTTTATTGAGATGTTCACATGGTTTTCCTCGTTAGTTGATTAATCTAGTCAGTGATACTCATTTTAAAATATTAAAGTAACTTTGCTTCCTTACAAAAACCCAGGTTGGTCGTTATTTTTATCTTTTTTTATACATGAAGTCTTCACTTGGCAGGGCGCCAAGCCCGCTGAAACAGGTTCATTTCAGAACCGTTTCCTCTCTTCGTGCAGTTCCCTGATGACTGTGAAGCAGGGACATGGTTCCAAGTTGCACAAGTTTTAGTGGATACCGTTGTGCAAAGCAAATTCTTATTTATTGCCAGGTTTGGTTTATTAGAATTTTGTTAAATTTTTACATCTGTGTTCGTGAGGAATGTTGTCTGTAGTTCCTGTAATGTCTGGTTTTGACGTGCAGTAGACGTTGTAGAATGAATCAGGAAGTACTCCTTCTGCATCTGTTTTCTGAAGAGGTTGTGTAGGATGTAATTTCCTGTCTAAATATTTGGTATAATTCATCAGTGAAGCCATCTGGACCTGGAGTGGGGGGGGGCGGGTTAAGAAGGTTTGAAAGTACAGTTTCAGTTGATCTGTTTCCTCTTGAGTGGGCTTTGGCAGTTTGTGACTTCCAAGGAATTTTTGTCATATAATTCGTTATATCGGCGCAAAGTTTTCGGTCACATTCCCTTATTATTCTCTTAACGTCAGCAAATGTGTAGTAATGTTACCTCTTTCATTCCTGCTATTTTTACTATGTGTTTTCTCTCGTTGTAATGCTTTTAAAGGCCATTCTGGGTGAAGGTTTACCCATTTTAAAATTGTTTTTTTGCAAAGAACCAGCTTTTGTTTTATTGATTTTCTGTATTGTTTTTCCTGTGCTGTACACTGTTGCTTTCTTCTGTGTTATTCTTTCCTTCCTTCTGCTTATTTCATATTTAATTGGCTCCTCCGTTTCCAGTTTTTTAAGGGAGAAACTGAGGTCACTGATGTGAGACCTCCTTTAACCCAGTTTTGAGTGCTAGAAATTTTCCCATAGATGCCACGCCGGTGACTGACGCGCCACCGTCCTGCTGGGCCCCATCTGCAGCTTCCCCCGCTCACAGTCCCTGTCGTTTTCCCTCGGGGCTCCCTCTCTCACTCCCGTCCGACGTAGTGGCACTTGCTCTAATGTCCAGATCTTCGGGGACTTTCCGTGTACCCCAGTTACTGCTTTTGTTCTCGTTCCATGAGATGTAGTTGTCAGAGCATTGTTGAGTTGCACGATGTCATGAGTTCTGCCACCGTCTGCAGTGACACACTCGCCCTGGTAAGGTCGCAGCCTTCCACCCACGTAACCACCATTTTCCTGTTTCGGTTGTTACGGCGAGAACATCAGGCCCCGCTCCCAGGGTGACCGCAGGGACGCAGCAGAGCGCTGACCCTGCAGATGCACTGACCGCCCGCCCGTGCTCTGTCCGCAGCAACCAGCAGGCCTTTCTGCTGGAGAACGTCCCCTGCACCAACGCGAGCTGCGAGGGTGCGCGCCGCATGTTTAAGGTCTACTGGGAGCTGCTGGACCTGAGTCAAGTCCGAGATGCCGTAGTCGCCACCTTCTTTGACATTTACGAAGATGTGAGTTCCCAGCTCTCCTGGGGGTGGGGTCCGATTGCTGCCCACCCCCATCTCTCTGTCTGTCTCTCCCCCCTCCCTCTTTCTCTCTCCCCCTCTCCCCGCCACCCCCCCCCCACCCTGTTGGACCAGAAAATGCAGGCGAGGTCAGGAAAGCAAACATGTGCATGGAAGAAAGCCCCCTCGGACGTTAGATGGCAGCGGGGACAGATCCACTGCCATCTGGCTGATTGGCACAGTGAGACAGGACAAGGCCTCCGCCCCCTGCTGTGCTCATTTAAGCGGCCAGAGAGCCGAGCTCTGAGGCCACAGGTGTGCGGGGCCCCAGGAGATGGAGACACAGCCCACAGGGAGCAGGTCCTTGAACCTGCTCGAGGTCACGAAAAGTGACTTCAGTCCTGTCTCAGCTCCGTGCGCCGGAGGCGGCGCCAATGCCACAAACTCTGGTGACGCTGTCTCCGGTGGCCAGTCCACCTCTCAGGGCCCCAGTTTCCTCCTTTCGAGCGTAAACGACCAGTTTGCCACTCAGAAAAGTAGTCAGTTCTGGTACGAATGTGTTAAACCCCAGAGTTCACGTAGCACAGTGTGCCCCGTAAAACAGCACAATTATTTTAAAAAGTTAAATGCCCACGAGGACCTTTCTGTCTCTCCCAATTCCATTGGTGCTTTATTTCTCTATAAGCTGCTGATTCTCAATTATACAATTACTGAGGTCCTTGTTTTCCTGTCTCTCTGCTATCAAATCCCATTCTACTTCCCTTTTATTAGCTGTTTTCAAGCATAAAAATAACTGGCAAAAACATCCCATGGGTATTGACTACAAGTCAGTTTTTAATTTCCATACATAAAACACATCCTAAATGAAATTTAAATGAATGAAATTTAAAATTGTTTTTAAATCTGGGAAATGAATTTGCTATAGAAGAATCAAATAATGAATATTCTTAATATAAGAAGGGCTTACATACTGATATCAGTCGCCAAAGACTTCCTCCCAAGAAGCAGAACGTAGCCAGTTGACAGAAGAAAACCCAAGTGGCCAACACAAACACCGCGGCAAGTGACCCGCCTCGCTAAGCGCTGGCAGCGGCAGCACAGAAACTTCAGTGTGTGTGCCCTTCCCTCCGAAAACAGCAGCGAAGCCTCCCCGGTCTTAGGGAACATGGTAACGGGCGGAGGTCTCCGAGTCTCCGGGCCTGGAGACAATTCGGGAGTGTGCACCTTGGGCTTTAAAAATTCATGCAGCTGTGACGGGGAGGAAATATACCAGGATCTCTCCAGAGACTAAAATTACCAGTGCTTTTGGTTTTCTCTGTACTTTGCTATTCAGAGCCTTCTGTCTTTTGAATCGTGTTTTTATTTTGAACACCAAGTTGCATAAGGAAGGTCCGCGTCCACACGGTGAGCGCACCTATGTGCCCCCCCCCCGCCCCGCTCACCGTTCTCTCTCTGTCCTTCCCAGGGGATCTTGGACATCCTGGTGCTCAGCAAAGGATCCGCAAAGAACGACTTCGCCATCCATGCGTTGAAAAATAACTTTGAAGCAGACGCTTATTTTGTTAAAGTCATTGGTGAGTGTGTGCTTTATGTGTTTTATTATCGAGTGTCAGCATTCCACTGTGTCTTCTCTCTGTCGATGCAAATGTCCCGAAGGAAGGCCGTGCTCCTCGGTCACCTGTGGGCAGCTCAGCACCGGCGTCCTGTGCCCGCCTCTGCTCCAGCAGTGACTTCCTCCCACCTGGCCCACGGCTGTGACCAGGAGCGCCCTTCATGCTTAGCTTCCCAGCCCCGGTGCCCAGCTCGGGTCCTGCATCCCCCACAGAGACCCCGCTGCATGGGCAGCGCTGTGCGCCCCTCAGTGCCTCACACCGGGAAGCATGTGGCGTTGACGTGCACCACCATGTTGGCCTTGGCGTTGTCCAAGCCCATTTCCGAGGTGCTTCCTGGTCTTCCTGGGCGCAGACGTCTCCTCTCACGGCCAGACCGACTCCCGTTCTCCATGATGCACTCACTCACTCACGTGCTCACTGTCGTACAGTGAGCCTGTAAGAAGTTGCAGAAGGCCTGTAGCCACATCATGGTCCTGCTCAGGACAAGGTCAAGTTCTCTGGAGAATTAAGTCACGAGACAGCAGACCCCTCGAAAGGGAGACACCACATCTGAGGTTTTTCTCCGAAAGGTCCCGGGGTGGGAAATGACAGGCGAGCCTGGTCAGCCACATGCTGGTGACAGCAGAAGCTCTGTGACGTGTCACAGGGTTCCTTCCACTGTTCTGAGTTGTGTATTTGAAAAAGTCCACGTGCAAAGGTTAAAAAACCGGAGCATCTCTGGAGCCTCCGTGGCCCGCAGCCTGTAGCTCAGGTCGGGGCGGGGACCACTGGGCAGCACCGCCAGCTGGGCGACTGCAGCCTGGGAAGCTCGGAGCCGGACACCGCCCACTTGGTGCGGGAGGCGTGAGTTTTAGAAAGTGAGGCGGCTCTGCGTGAGCCCCGTTATCATAGACGTTAATAACGTGCTTGACAGAGAGGCCGTGGGAAATGAGATGTGATTTAAAGCAGTCATTTGGGGAAAATAACCTTCCGGCTGCTTTGAGATGCCCTTCCACCCTTCCCTCCATCCCTGGTGTTCGCCTGGACTCTCGCAACCGCCGCTGTGCCATCTCCCTGCCCTGGCCGTCACCGACACCCAGAGTGGACTGCGCTCTAATAAACGGGCTGAGTGAGGAGATCGGCTGGGAGGGAGGCCTTGTTTCACACAGGGCGGTTGAGTGTGATGTTTGCTTTGTATCCACGTGTCTTAAAGAGACAGGAACTAAAGCATTTTCAGAGAATGAATCTGGACAGTCACCCTTAACCCCAGTGAGGCCATGTCATCCCTCACACTGCTGCTGGCTGCTGCTGGCTGCCCCCTTGCTGGCTACCCCCTCTCCCCCCTCCTCCTCCCCCTCCTCCCCTCTCCCCCCTCCTCCCAGGCCGGCCAGGCTCATACTCGAAGATGATTGCTATTAAGTAGCCGCCTGAGTCACAAAGCGAGCAGGTTTTACACCCTAAATACCTTTGAGAACACTGGGGCCGTAACGCGGCGTTTTCCCACGAATGGTCACGTCCTAAGCACTGTCATTTTAATGAAAACTAATGAATTGCACCTCCCATTAGTCAAGTTTTAAACTAATTTAATCTGCTAATAACCAGTAATTCACATAGCTCATTAATTATTTTAATTACAGTTTTTCGTTTAACTCTGAATAGCCTGAGTTTTCATATTTCATTAATCTTTCTAAAACAGCTTTGGTTTTAAAATCCTGGAGTATTAGAAATTACTGCTTAGACCAGCTTATTTAAAAGGGTATTATAAAATGTCGCAATATAGATCTATACGAGATTCTTAATGCGAATCATTTACAAAAGTTTATGAAATCCTGAAATGTCTAAAAATCAGACCATGGCCCAGCCAACAGCAGCGAGTTGGTGGAAAGACATTTGTTGACATTTGTCACAAGAAAGAGAAAGAGACACTGACGAACAAAAAGTGTCCCTGCCCGAGAAGCTCACAGGCGTCCATACAGAGAGCAGGGCGTGCTTGCTGACGTCCCTGCAGAAGTGATGCTGCCACCCTGACTCGACAGACCGCTCAGGCCTTTCGTTTGTTCTTTTTATTTTTTATGTATTTATTTTTAGGGAGAGGGGGAGGGAAAGAGTGGGAGGGAAACATCAGTGTGTGGTTGCCTCTGATGTGTCCCCTTCTGGGGACCTGGCCTGCAACCCAGGCACGCACCCTGACTGGGAATTGAACCAGCAACCCTTTGCTTCACAGGCCCGTGCTCCATCCACTGAGCTACACTAGCCGGGGCCTTTTGCTTGTTCTTAAGTTGCATTTTATGGTGTCCTAAAGCTGTCATCTCAAGTGACACTTGTACAAATGTCATAAGAGTCTACCCCGTTACGGTTTTGGTTTTGCAAGCGAATTTTAGAGCATTATTTCTTTTTTACTGTTAAAGCTTTAGTTGGGGATTTATTTTGTCTCCTGATCACAAAATTAAAGCAACTGCAGAGCATTTTCTGGTTTTATCAACTCGAGGGGAGAAGGCACGTCAGCGGGCGGGTCCCTTTTCCTTTCTGACGGGAAACTGACAGTGGGTCACAGAGGGATGTAACGACGAAGACAAAGTGGAGGGTAGAACCCGCTCCCCCACAGCCCCCTCCCCGCCGAGGGCAGGGCGTTCACTGGCGGCAGCGGCAGGGTTTCCCGCCTCATGCAGGACAGGCCTCGCCTGCCCTGGCCCCCGTGCCCGTCACTGGACATGCCTGTCACTGGAGGAAGGTCGGGTTTTCCTGTAGGTGAAACAACCGTCTCGCACCAAGAGCAGGTCCGCGTTCATGATGGTGTCTGGGGGTTCTGCATTCCTAATTAAACAGTGTTATCGAGAAGAACGTTCATCAAGCTCAAGCATTAACCTCATTCCTCCTTGAATTCCATAAAAGCAAGGAAATGCGTGTTCTGTTTGCATCTGGTAGGTCTCTCTTTTTAAAAGACGTGTGTAATAAACACCTGTGACATAAATATGATATGTACATAAGTATGATACATTTAAATCATCATTTCGATTCCATTGCTACAAATGAAACTTCAAATTTGACAGAGGAAGTCTTGGAAAAATAAAAAATAGGTACAAGATACAAGCAAATTTTTAGCCTACCATATACGAAATGAAAGAGACTATTATGTAATTTTGAGTAAATATGCTCAACTATGCTAAACAACACACCGACATTCTCCCTTGTACAGAAAATAAAATAACCCAATGGTTCATTGATTTCCCATCTCCCATATAAGTAGAATAATGTGTTTTTTAAATGAATTAGTGCCTAGTGGCCACGTGGTCTTTCGAAAGAATTCCATTTGCTTTGCGACCTTGAGTGATGCATTGGCTGAGCTCTCGCCTTCTCTTCTGGAACAAGGAGTGGTGCGGTCCCCGGACTCTCCACCCAGGTGCGCTCCTGGGAGGCTGCAGGCGGAGCCTATGCGGAAGTGGACACACGCGCTCACTCACCACGGGTGGGAAAGAGTGCCGCTGAAACTCAGTGCACACCGGAGCTTCAGCATGGGACCCAGAAATAACTCCGTTCCTGAGAATTCGCCCCTGGCGGCCACCATTCCACTTTCCACAGGCTTACTCCTCTGGGCGCCTCCCAAAGCTGGGACCATCCAGGGTCAGCGCTGTGGCGAGTGGCCTGTCTCCCTCCACGTGACGTCTGCAAGGCCCATCCGCAGATTGGCGCGTGTTGGGACGGCTTTCCTGGTTGGAGCCCAGGAGCGGGTCTGAGCGTGTGGCGCGCTGCGTCCTGTCCGAGGGGTGGGTGTGTGGGTGGGCCGTTCCCCCACCCCCTCCACCCGGGTACTGTAAATAGCAGGCGCGCCCCGTGGCATTGGCTCGAGTCGTCCTGATCACTAATGATGTTGCTCATCTTTTCACCACTTTTGTCTCTTTCTTTTCTTTGGAGAAATGCCTATTCAGATCATTTGCCCAGTTTTTAATTGATTGTCTTTTCATTATTGAAGTATAAGAGTTCTTTATATTATTTGGGTCATGGCCAAATGTAATTTTTATGTTACGAGTTAAAGTCTAACCTCATTTTCCTCCAAGTAGCCAATTACCCTGGGCCAATTATTGAATAATCTATCTTTTTCCTGCCTTAACAAGTATTTGTTGAGCAGATACACTGGCTTGGGTCCTGAGAAAACGACAGAATGCTGCAGGTTACACCCTAGTTACGGACACAGACTTGGGAGCAAACAGTTACTGTTCAGCAAAATAATGGTTTAAATGAAGGTTTATAAAGATCATTTTGGTACAAGTGGAAAAGAAATACTAATGTCTGCCTGGAGTTCAATGCTGCCGCCCTCCCACCCCCACTGGTCAAAAACCCCAGAAACTTGAAGAACAAGAGTGAGAACCAGTCACGGTCCCCAGGTGAAGGGCTCATGCGGCGAAAGCTGCCTTGTGTGTGTGGAGCGTGACTTGACCACTTCCTCACGCCGCGTCTGGTGCAACATCAGACCCTGCCCGAGTGACGCCTCTCGGAACACATGGGACCTGCCCCAGCTGCGGGCTCCCGGCAAGCCCAGGACCCACCTCCCTGCGGGGGTGCGCGCTGGCAGACAGCCCAGACTGTCACCGAGGCCACTCCTGCACGCTGAGCAGAATCGCCAGCGGCCGCCAGTTGCGGGCACGTGGAGCGTCCTGCCACAGGCGTCCCTTCGAGAGAGGTGGCGCCAGGGCGGCTGCTTCAGAGCTGGTGTCACTTGTGTGACGACCGTTTGGACATTCTAACCTTTTCTTTTTTGGCGATTGTCGAATAAACGTGTCATTAAGTTATTTTTGTATATTCCTGTGGACCATCACTGATTTTAGTTATAGTCTCCCAGTCGTTACCCAGTGTGCCCGAACTCCGAGACCAGGAACTCTGCAGAGGGGACGTCTGCCCCGAGACAGGGTGCTGGGGGGCCCCACCCACCCCCAGTGCTAACCAGCTGCCTTCCCTTCCCTTCCCACAGTTCTCAGCGGCCTCTGCTCCAGCGACTGCCCGCGGAGGATCACGGTGAGTGAGCTCCATGGCCACTTGGGCCAAGGGGGGGGTTATCCCTTCACGGGGGCCCTGGGCACCCGCCAGTGCCCGAGAGACATTCCCTGGGGCCATGGGCCTTTCCTGAAGCGTCTGCCCCTCAGAGGTTGCCTCCCATAGCCTCTGCTCACACTGTAGGGAGCAGCCGCCCCATCATCTCCAGGCCCGTGTGATGCTCCGTCAGCCTCACCTGCTGACCTTCAGCCGCCCCCAGACTGTCATCCCTGGGGGTCAGGAACCTGCCATCTCTGTGCATGGCACACAGCACGGGTCAAGCTTATGAATTTTTCAATGAATTTTTGAGTAGTCAGTATTGACTTGCTGTCTAATGGAAGATTTCAGCGAAATATGGTAACAAAATGTGAGAATAATTTGGCTTAGTTTTTGAAATTGCCTGTTTGCGTAAATTATAAGAATGTTATGTTATACTTGAAAGTGTACGTGCGTTGGTCTATCCTTGCCTGAGTCCTCATAGTAACCCTTGTTTTATAAGGAATTACCTTCCATTTAAAAGTGAGGAAACTGAGGCCCAGGGAAATTAAATTGTCCAGAGCCACGGAGCTATTAAGTAGTGGAGCGAGGATGCACAGCGCGGTGTTCCGATCACAGCCCGTATTTTTGTCCCCCCGCCCCACACTCCCTTGGAGGCGCGCGCTGCCCCCATGGCGTGTGTGGTGGGGGGCCTCCCCGACTTCAGAGGAGTGGGAGCGGACCCCCACCCGGGGCCTTCAGGCAGGGGGTTCAGACTCACCTAGGGAGGGACAGCGCAGAAGTCGCGGGGGACGTGGGACTCGCCGGAGGAGGGGTGGCCGGTGATACGAGGGGAGCTGAGCCAGGACGCCCCCGTCCGGCCCCTCTGTCTTTGGGTTGGTCAGCAGAGGCGCGTTCTGCTGGCTTCGTGTGCTCATCCCCGTTCACGGTTCTCTTCTCTCGTATTCGTCAGTTCTAGTTGTCATGCACAGGTTTAGATGACACCACGTACTCTGGCAAAGTACCGACTTTTTTAAAGATTTTATTTATTTTTAGAGAGAGGGGAAGGGAAGGAGGAAGAGAGAGAAACACGGGTTGGTTGTCTCTTGCACACGCCCCATCTGGGACCAACCTGCAACCCAGGCGTGTGCCCGGAGCAGGTAGCGAAGTGGCGACCTTTGTCTCTGTGGAGGGACCCTCAGCCAGGGGGCCACAGCGGCCATGGCGCGAGCTGCCGAGTTCCACACCTGCACCCAGTGCAGGCCGCTGGCCTCGGGCTCTCGGGCGCTGTTCCTTCTCCTCTGGGTCTTTCTGTCTCACAGGGGCCGTCTTCAGTTTTGTTCGTTCTTTCCTCACAACCGGGATCTGCTGCTGAGCCACTGCAGTGGGTTTCTCACTTGTCACCGTGCTCTGGAAGGGCTGTGCGTGTGTGCACGCGTGTGCACTTTCCATCTCTTTAGTGACGCTTCCTTTCCGTGAGGCCCTCATAGTTCCCTCGGGTCCGCAGACGTGGTGCCTGCCGTGCTCTGAGTGACTCAGGAGAGCCCGGTTACAGGTCTGGCCTGCGAGCCAGACGTCAGGGGCGAAGAGGGCCAGCCTCCCCGGACTGCCTTGTCCCCTCTGAGTGGCCTGCGCTTTCCTGTGTGTTTGGGGGGGGGGGGGCAGCGTTCTTTGTCATTGTTGAAAACCGGACATCTTAATAACACGAAAGCCCGGACGTGCTCTCCTGGGCCCACAGTCACCGGTGGTTGTCGCTGCTGTTCATTCGGTGGCCTTGATGGACCCGGGTGGTGGGCCAGCCCTGTGCACTTGGCTCAGGGCCAGCGGTGGCTGCAGAGAGGTGACAGTCGGTGACAGACGGGTCTTTTCTTTTTATAGGAACAGGCAGGCGCATGGGGGGCGGGGCCTGCGAGAGCCTCAGGCCATGTCCACGCTCTTTTCAAAGCCCTCATTTGAACTTCTCCTTTGCATTTTTCCTCTTCAGTGTGGTCAGCCCCTCCTCAGCCCCAACTGACAGCACAGCCCCGGCAGCTTCAGTGTAAACAGTCGCTACGGATTGTTTCTCACAGGGGCCAGTGTCAGGGCCCAGTGACCAGCTGCCCGCTCACTCGTCCGACAGGGCCTGCTGGACAGCGAGTGGGGACGGCTCTCTGGGAGAGCTGCTTAACCCACCGCCCCTAATGCTCGACTTGGCAGACCCCCCAAGGTGACCCCTCCCTTTCCAAGGCCTAACTGCTCCGCTTCATTGCAGCCCTTCGGCGTGAATCAGCCGGGACCTTACATCATGTACACGACCGTAGATGCAAACGGGTACCTGAAGAACGGGTCAGGTAAGGCTGGCACGCTGTGTCACCGACGGGGTGCACGGGGCGACAGCAACCGGTGGGTTTGCACACCCTTTAACGGTCCCCCCGTGCGTATCGGACCTGGTCTCTCTGTAGGCCGACGTCAGCAGGGTGCAGAAGGGCCCCGCGACAGACGTGTCGACACTAATTCCTCCCATACCCTCCGGTGACGGAGCCGGATCACCATCCTGCTTTTCAGCCACAGTGACAGGGACCGAGAGAGACCACCCGAGTTGTCCTGGTCAAACTGTGAGGCGGCGGATGAGTTCTCGAAGCTCATCTTGGAAGCAGAAGGGAGGGACCCGACCCACAACCTAAACTAACCCTGGTTTCCTCCTAGTGGAGTAGAAGCAGGAATGGTACATAGAATATTACATAAGGGTTGTTTCGGTGTATGGTCATAAGGGAAAACCTAGTTAATTTTTTAATAAATAATAAAGGGAAGTACAATCAAGACAAAAAGGAAATGAGACTAAGCCTAGGGCTGTGCTTCTGGCACGTGGTGGGGTGCATGGAGGGAATGAGGACGTAGACAGTCTGAACAACTATGTCTTTACACTCCGGTTTGGGTACATGTTAAACCAAGATTCCAGGACTAGCTGGTATTATTTTCTTTACCTTGAACAAAGATTAACTGGGCATATTTTTGTGTCAAAAAAACATAAATTGATAACAAAAGAAAATGGAAGGAGTCGTGACGCCTCCTGGAACAGGCACAATGTTGTTTTTCTCTGAAAGAACAAATTTCTGCGAGAGGAGTCGCCCCTCAGCTTAATCTCAGCCGACCAGAGAGCAGACAGGGCCAGTGGGGGGGGGGGGGGGGGGGCAGCCAGGGGAATGGAAGGGGGAAGGAGGGAGGATGCGGAACAGCACTAGGCACCACTGATAGATTCTATTTATACAACTACAAAAATTGAATGATTGAATAAGTGAATGGATTACAAAACATGCAGAAAGTCTGAGAAACTGTGAGAAAGTTGGCAAATTATTCAGCTGCTCAGCCGTTAGAGCCCCATCCGCACAGATGTAAATGAGTCAAAGACACACTCTGAAAATTCAAAGAAAGAAAATTAGAAGGCTTAGTGCCGACAAGAACAGAAGATTTGCTTCATGAAATTCTGTTTACACACTGATTTCTGGTGTCATATTCCAGTCGATATGGATCCCGACACTGAGGGGAAACCGCTACATGACAGCCTTGGGGGGGGACGATTTGTCTGTGCTGGGTCTTTGCTGGCAAATGTTTGGTCGTCCACAAGTCGTTATAAATAATTCAACAGTCCTCCCTGCTGTGCAAGTATATTTGTTGCAAAGGAATGTGATTTTTAAAAAATCTCATCGCTCAGCGGCACCATGGACATGTTCCTTCTCATCCCCTTCGTCCCCACTGTCCTCGGGCGCCAGCCGAGCAGCCGTGGGAAGCGGCCTCGCACCCCGGGGAGGGCTGAGATTCCCAGATGCACCCAGGCCCGGCATGGGGGAGGCACTCGGCCCCCACTGAGCAAGTGCGAGGGAGCAATAAAATTCCTAGCATGACTTCCCCGTGCATGCTTCTGTCAGAGATTGACCCTGCAAAGGTTTACTGTGAGTCGAGTCTCATATTGAAATAGAATAGTATTTGGAAAAAAAATACATCCTCATCTCCTCAATTAATTTTTTACCACTTATTAAATTCATTAGAATACAGGATCAGGTAGAGTCAGATAAGTGAACTCAGAGAGCAGAGGTGCTGATTTAATTAGAAATTGTATTTTTAGCAGCTTACTCATAGGCATGTGCTTTTTGAGGCGAGTTCTACCCTGAAATAACTTCTGCAGTTTTATTCTCTCGTGTGGTTTTCCCGTGATGAACCTGGCCTTTGTAGCCCAAGATAACAGGAGAGTCAGAGGTCACGGAAAACCAGTGCGTGGGACCAATTCCACAGTCAGGCCGAGCCGGCCCACTGTGCGCCTCGCAGCGCGCGTGCCGCTCCACGGGCCCCGCGTCATTCTCTCAAAAGATGGGCAAATTCAGACTCACAATAGAGATGGAGACTTTGTCTACGTGAACATCACCTGGGAAAAGGCGCGCACTGTTTGGTCATTAAGTGTATTTCAGGCATAAAAGTATTTTCCTACTCTGTTCACATTAACTAGAGTTTTCTCACTAACCATATATTTTCTTATTAAAATAAAATGGCTTTGGCTGTAAGGCAGATTATTAATATAAAAATTGCAACTCTGATGTTGTATACATAATAGAGGACAATTGTTTTCTAAAATCCATGAATCTTATCTACAGAGGGGAAAGTACAAAATTCTTCCAATCCACAGCACCCAGTAAGAAAATGGTCACCACCTCCAAGCTGTAAGCATTAAAGCATCCTTTTGGGAACCTTGAGATGGTTCTAGTAGTTTCGAGGGAAAACCCACGCTCCCCAGACTGATGCTCCGTTGGTGCCGTGTATCTGCTGTGCTGTTTTCACATGACTTGGCACCTGGGACTCAGTGTGGTCATTGTTCTTTACACAAAATAGTTGTTGTCTTTAAACATTTTAGTGAGCAATTTACTAGCCATTATATTTTACTTAATTATGTATGTTCACAAAAAGTAATTGAGAACAAGAATTCTACTTAATTTATTTCAAGAGTTCATATTTTTAAAAATCAGTGAGTAATCTAAAATAGGCCTGGTTGCCCATTTCTTGCCAAAATTTTCAATAGAATATTGATATTAGCAAACTGAATTCCACAGCACATCAGAGGTCACACACCACAATCAGCGGGATTTGCACCAGGGGTGCACAGGCCACCCAGCACCCGCGTGGTGTGACCCGGCACAGCAGCAGGGCCCCGTGTGAAATCAGGTGGTGGTCTCAGCAATGCAGAAAGCCATGCTGGGCGGAAGCCCGCATCTGTGATAAAAACTCTCACCAAAGTGGGAACGGAAGGGACACATCTCAGCAGAGCAAAGGCCCCCAGATGAGCAGCCCACGGTCAACATCGTCCTCAGTGGTGAGACGCCGGAAGCCTCTCCTCTGGGATCAGGACCAGGACGAGGAGGCCGCCGTCAGCCCTCCGCCCCACACAGCCCTGGAATCCTCGCCGCAGCGTTCAGACGAGGGGAAGGAGTGAGAGACGTCGGATCGGAGAGGAAGAGGGAAACTATCTCTCTGAAAGCAGAGAGAAGGAAGGAGGAGAGATGATAGACCACCTTTCGACAAGTTCAGTGTCAGGCACATCTGGTTTCTGGTCCAACATGAGAAAGACTTGGAAGTCATACCCCCATCTTCACCACCACCACCCCCAAAAAAGGTGAACAAAGTGAAAATCAACAGTTCTTGGACCCATCAGAGAATTGAAGGCACAGGGCCAACCCCTGCCCCCAAACAGAAGACAGGTGGACCCAGAGAGCCCACCGGCCGCAGCAGACCGCGGCTGGGCCACCACCGGGACCCTCACAGGGCAGCGACTCATGGCTGGAGGGCAGGTCTGGTGCCAGTTTCAGAGACTAAGGGCTCGGTTGGGTTTTACCTCTGGGAACCGCACCGGGTGCTCGGGGCTGGGTCTGCGGGAGACGCCCTGGCTGCTGTCGGGGAGGGGGTGTGAGCAGGCCACCGCCGAGCAGGTGCCAGCTGGTCAGAGGGAAATGCAGGCCGAGGCATTTTGTGTCAGAGCCGCGTGATGGAACAGACTCCGCGCCGAACCTGTTCATGAAGCCCCGCTCCACGCAGAGCCCCAGCTTCAGCCGCGCTGACCTCTCCCGTTCACGAGGTCCCTGCTCACCGTTCTCCAGCCTCCGGATTCTCCTCACTGAGGAAGCAGCAGTGACTTCCACCGGACAGTCTCCTGCTGTGGTCTCGCCACGAACACAGTTTAACACACGTCACAGAACACGATGCTCCTTTCAGCACCCCTGCAGAGGAGAGGGTCACCCTAAAACTCGTGCTCTGCTGGTGAACTGCCCGGGCTGAGTAGGGAGCCTGAGCCAGCCCTCGTGCAGGTCCTGGGGAGCCCGTCCCCGGGGGCTGCCTTTCTCTCACTCTCATCCTGCGTGGGTGTGATCAGATCAGGGGCAGGGCAGCAAGCTAAACCCGCCTCATTTCCCAGAATGGCTTCAATGGCCCGGGCTTCAGGTGCCGAAAGGGAACATCACAAAGGTGGCCCACGGCTGTGAGATGCGGCCCTACGGCCCGGGCTCCAGAGACCCGCAGATGGCCGTGGGAATGGGGGCAACTGCATATGGAGTCTTGCAACCAACACCCCGGGCCCCCCATTTAGCAGCTGTGTGTTTTTGGTCAAACTACTTCACCTCGGTTTGCCCCCCAAGGCAGGGAGGTAACAGCGGAACTTGGCATGGCCCTCGGCCCCGGAATGAGACCGGACCCACTATGGCAGGTCACTCACTGTCAGGTTTCCCGCTGCTCGAAGGGGTCTGTGTGGCCCCCGCCCCTCGTCCTCCCCGGCTGCCCTCCACTCCCCCTAACTGCTGTCAGGGCAGCTCCGTCCGGGGGCCTCCAGCCTGAGAGGAACCAGCACCACCCAGAAGCGTCTGCTCCGAAGAAGAGGCTCTTACACGAGACCTCAGTCGTTCGGATCCTGCTCCCTCATTTTTATAGAGCTGATTGTTTTTCCCAAGCCTGGGTAGCAGCTGCAGAAACACTTCTGGCACAGGGTAGAGATGGGCAGAGGGGGTAACAAAATATGGCCCAACGGGCTGCTGGTGACAAGACGCACTTCAGATTCAGGGACACCAATGAGGAGAAAGACTGGGAAGGGAGAGGCCCCGCGCAGAGAGCAGGGCGGCCGCTGTCCCATCAGAGGAAGCTCGTCTTTAAGACAAAAATTGTTACTGGAAACAAGGGACATTTCACAATAATAAAAAGATCCATCCATAAGGAAAATATAACAACGATAAAGAAGTGTATATCTAACAGCAGAACCCCCAAAAGACATGAAGAATTGAAGAGGAATTGATAATCCAATAATAAATGACCGGAGACTTGGATCTCCCACTTCGGATAATGGACCGAACAGCTGGGCAGGGACCAGTGAGAGAAAACGACACTGCAGACCGCCCGCCTGACAGCCGTGTGCGTGGCACGGCACAGACCCTGCGTCCTCCTGCAGCACGGGCCACGCCGGGACACGGAACAAGACCCCCTGTGGCCAGCAGGGCCCCCCACACGTGTTCCCAACGGCCACTGGACGGTGTCGGAAATAAAAACTCATGTGCGAAGTCACGAGGGAGACTACTTGCGTGGATGAGAAACAGATTGCGACGTGTTCCAGCGACCGCACAGGATGCAGCCGAAGCCGGCGGCAGAGGGGATTCGACGCTGCGAATGCCTGTGTTAAGGAAGGGGAGCAGTTTGGAACCACTGATCTAAGTATCCACCTTAAGAAACTAGAAAAAGAGAAGCAAACTAAAACCCAGCAAACAGAAGGCAAGAAATGAGAGGAAATAAGTAGGGGAGAGAAAACCATCAAGATAGTTTTTTGAAAGACTAACAACATTTACAAACCTTTAGCTAAGCTGACCAAGAAGAGAAAAAAAATTACTAAAGCCCAAAATGGAAGTGGGGACCACTCAGTCTTACAGACTTAAAAAGAAAGCTACGTAAGTGACCAATAGGCACCTGGAAAGAAGCCCAGCATCCTTAGGTGAGTGCATATAAGACAAGATTACGTTTAAAAGCCACAGGGAGATGCCGCCCGCAGCCCCGAGAAAGCTGCGGTCAGACCAGCCCTCCTCCAGTACTGGAGCCGGGCGGGCACGGCCAGTGCACAGGGGAGCTTGGGGCTGCCTCCCTGCCGCTGGGAAGCCGGGCTTGGGGACAGGGGCGACTGCTAGTGGGATGGGCTTCTCGGGGACGGGGGACGTGCTCTGAATGTTGGCGTGGTCTGGATGGACAGCGTGGTGAGCACACTCGGAGCCAGCTGGCCACACACGTCCCTTGAGTGTGGGTCACGCTGTGTGGGTCGTGTGTCGATGACACTGCTGTCTTTAGAAAGCAAATCGTTTGTGAACCAGACACCGTGTCTCATGTTTCCGTCCTTGAAGAGTAGGCTGTAGCCCCTGAACGGTTGACAAGCTGCTTTGCCGCTCGGCGAGAGCGGCGTTTCTGAAGGTGTCTCTCTCTCTCCCTCTCTCTGGCCGCTCAGCGGGGCAGCTCAGCCAGTCGGCGCACCTGGCCCTGCAGCTGCCGTACAGCGTCCTCGGCCTGGGCCGCAGCGCCAACTTCCTGGACCACCTCTACGTGGGCATCCCCCGGCCGTCCGGAGAGAAGGTGAGTCGCGGCGTGTTTTGTTTACCGTCCGTCCCTGTTTCAATGCTCACTGCCAAGCATCCGAATTCGGTCATTTGAATTCAATGGACTCGAAGGGCAGTGGTTGATACTCTGTTCCCTTTAAAGAACTAGGAAAACTGACCGGCAGTGACCTCTCTGTCCCACGTGAGGGCGCGTCACCCTCTGGGGTGGAGTCGTCCGCCGCCCCTTCTGAGTGACCCCTGCCGCCACCTCTCCCACACACTCGCCTCCGCTTTGGGCCTGGCCCCTGTGGAGGGCACTCGGGGCGGCGACCACTGCGAGGGGGCGCTCCCCGAGTGTTTGCTGAGTTAATGAGTCGTGAGGTGGGGGAAACCCTTCCCTGGAAAGGCGAAAACAGTAAACACCGGCAGGGCACAGGGGCCTTTTGGGACCCACCGCCCCTGGGTTCAGTCGAACCTTCGCCCCGGGCTTCAGGGAACCCCAAGAGGGCCGGTCTGTTCCCGGCCGATGCAGAGTCTGAAGCGCGTGGGTGACCATGTCCGTCACTGCTCTTGCAGGCCGTGCGGAGACAGGAGTGGACGGCCATCATCCCGAACTCGCAGCTCATCGTCATCCCCTTCCCGCACAGCGTCCCTCACAGGTAGCGTGACACACTTGTTCCCTGGCTCTGAACTCGGGAGACCTCTGGCGGCTTCCTTCCAGGTCTCGGCGCTCCTCACGTCTCAGTCTTTCTGAGAGAATGTTCTTTCCAATGCACGTGCATAACACGAAAGCAAGTTGACTTTTGTTTGCGGTGCGGTCTGAGATTTAGTGACAAGAGACTAACTAATGAGTCAGTAAATTTTATCCCAGAATAAGTCCATTGCCATCACTCAGAGTGATCTGACCTTTATTATTAAACTCCTGAGACGAAAACAGAGCTGGTTCCTATGGAGCCGCCTGCAGCCCGGTGGCCCCGAGCCCAGCTGTGGGCTCCCTGAGCTTCGCACGGGCTCGGGGTGGCCGCAGGAGAGGGCCCGGGTCAGCGCAGTGACATGACCCCCCCACCACGCCACACGGGCCACGGAAGGTTCTCACGGGCCCCCGCCCGCCTGCACGTGTGGCTGTGCCGGTTGGTCACGTTGCATAAGTGAGCAGGGGTCAGAAAGAGAAGATGGGGAAATGTTACCACAACCACGTGGCCACCTGCCGTGGGGTTCGAGGTTCCGAATTAAGCGAGTCGGGCGACGTGAAAAGAATGCCTCAGTGGTCCGCAGCACCCGCCGCAAACGAACAGGAGAATAATTCTCGCAGGAGCAGAGAAAACAGCGTCCGGTCGGGAAACCTGTTCTCCTTCAGTTCGCTGCGTAAATCTGCAGCCTGCAGGGTCACCTCCACTCTTAGCTCTGCGTGGATTTAGTTGCTTTTGTTTTATTTCCAATGGCTTCCGTGAGTGGCCTGACTGATACGCTCTGCGATCTCAGTGAAACGTGTCCTTTCCGCTCCCCCCCGCCCGCAGCTGGAGTGCCAAGCTGTACCTCACGCCCAGCAACATCGTGCTCCTGACGGCCATCGCGCTGGTCGGCGTCTGCGTCTTCATCCTGGCCATCATCGGCGCCCTGCACTGGCAGGAGAAGGTCCGCTCGCTGGGGGCCGTGACTGGGGGGGGCCGGAGGGTCAGTGGTGTGGTGTCTTCAAATCCGCCCACCCCAGTCTCCAGTGACACGGTTGTGGTTCTGATTTTTCAGGTTCTGCCCACGATGCTGTCTAATTGATGATCGTTTATTTCTTTTACCCTCAAGTTCCTGTGTGTCTTAGCAGTTCATGCAAATCACAGGAGGACACTATTCACTTTAAAATTTTCCTGGTTGTACAATAGTTACAGAGTGGTCGCCCCCAGATCTCCAGGTCTATCTAAGATCTTAGAGCCGGCAGGGCGTGGGTGGAGGCGGAAGAGAGTAGGGGGAGGTGAACAGTGATGGGAAAATAAAATGTTTTAAATCTAAAAAGAAAGAAAAGGAAACCTTAATGAGACCCACTTTCTCATGGAGAACAGACACTCACTTTGCAGAGGAGCAGGCTCATCCCCCGAGGGAGCCCCGCACACTGTCCCCAGACGCACACTGTCCCCAGACGCACACTGTCCCCAGACGCACACTGTCCCCAGACGGCTGCCCCTCTGCCGAGGCCGCGCTCGGGGCCCAGGCGGGGAGTGGCCACGGGGACACATCTTTTCTGTCGGCTGCCCTTTGCAGCGAACTGGTTGCCTTCAGTGTGAACCCCCAGTAGTGAAAGGAAGCTGCAGAGGCATCGGTGTCTGCACGATGCTAACGAGGAGAAACGCTGGTGTCACAACCGCGCCAGCGGTTCAGACACAAAGGCCAAAGCTGGCTGCTCGTTGCCCGTGCATGCAGAGCACGGGGCCAGCAGGCTCCCACGGGACTCTCCGAAAAGGGCCGCCTCCCGTGGTGTGGGGGGATCCCTCACCACCCCCACGGCTCTGGCTCTGGGTCTCGTTTGTCCCGTCCTTTTCAACTGTGACGGCCGTTGGCTCGTCTTTCAAAAAGAGAACTTAATGCTTGTCCTGACAAACCTTCGAAGGTTTGTCTCTGACACTGCCACCCCTTGCACGTCGACACTGTGACACTTGACACAGTGTCATTTCAGATCAGCGGGAGAGGCAGGGCCGGGGGGCCTCTCGGGCTTGCGTCCTGTGTGGCAGAGCCTGGCCTGCAGCATCCCCCAGCTCTCGCCCCGCACCAGGGACTTGGAGGTGATTGATTTCTCAGGGGACCCAGTTGCAGGAGGAGCCCTGCAGGCTCCCCACCCTGGATGGGAGGCTGCACTCAGAGGTTCCCCGAGGAGGGGCTGCTGCCCCCGCCCTGGGGCTCTCGTCCTGCCCTGGGTCCGCTTGCACCTGCACTTCGGGCCACGCACCTGCCAGGGCCGCCTCTGCCCAGTGCCACCTCTGCCCGGCACCCCGCCAGCCGCCCCCTCCCCCCCTGAAGCTTCCCCACCTGCAGCCTTCACGGCGGGGACACCTCTGCTGGACCCCTGGCTGTCCCTAAAGCAGGATTCAAAGGCCTCGTCCCTTTTCTTTCTCACTTATTCACAAGACTCAGTCAGCTGCCCCTGCTGCTGCCCCCGCCCCCGCATCCCTCCTGCGGGGCTTCCTGGGAGCCCCTCCATCTGCTCTCCTGCCCCTCACCCCACTGCCGCCGGCCCTCATCATGTCTCTGCTCGGCCCTCTGGCCACTGTCCCCTCGCCGGCCTCACTGCCCTTCCAGGGGCCCCACGGGGCACCGTGCCCACCTCTCACCAGGTATTCCACACGACCCGTCCTCCCCTGACTGCCACCAGCGCTGTCCTTTCAACGGCCCCTGTCCTCACCCCCCGAGGCAGCCTGTGTCTCAGGTGGTAGGGACCGTCCTCCCCGTGTCCTGAAACAGCATGTTGGCCTCTCCTTCCAGGCTTTAAGCTCCTTGAGAACAAACTGAGGGCCTTTAATCCCTCAGAACCCCAAGCACAGGGCTCGGCTGGGAGCCGAGAGTCAGTAAATCCTGCTGAATCTATAGGTTAAGCCCAAATAGGTCATATGGCTCAATCTAATTAACTTAGGTTCGAGTGTTAACCTCAGTGTTAAGAATGGGAAGAATGTAGTAGTTGATTCCATCCTTACAAAATCTCATGTTTGCTCCTATTTTCAAGTAAATAATAACCAACTGGGCGTTTAAGGATCAATTCCTATTGGTTTTTAAATTCAATTTAGTGGATCATTAATTTATGAAATCACTACTGTAAACTTCAAAAATAGTTCATTAGTCTGTTACAAAAGTCACACCTGTTATCTGCTCGACTCTGGGGGCTTTTTCCATTGACCCCTTCGATTTCAGAAACGCGCCGGTCCCCGACATTTCCTGGCGTGCGTAACAGGCCTGATGTTGTCTTTCAGAAAGCGGACGACAGAGAGAAGCGGCAGGAAGCCCACCGGTTCCACTTTGACGCCATGTGACCCGCTATTCACGCCGTATCGTGGACCAGCCTCTGCGTGATTCACCAAAACACTACCTTTGGCTTAGAGAAGAAAATAGGGGATTTTGAAATTATTTATGACTGACGCTTCTTCTGGTGACTACTGGAGGGCACCCGGACGGACGCGGCAGGAGGGGCCGCGGGCCTGTTCGGGGCGCTCTGCCTTTCTGCTCCTCCGTGGGGCTGGCACGCGTGCTCAGCTGTTTCTGTCTCTACACACGCTTGTCAGAGTGACGGTGGCGGGAAGACTGTGAATAAAGATATTTCGGTGAGCAGCGCCGACCGCGCCCTGCTCCTCTAACACAGCCGACGGCCCTTCCGTGCTGTCTCTCAGGCAGAGTTGCCGGCCTTCCCCTCCGTCTTGGGCCAGGGGCTGTCTCAGGGCAGACAGAGCGGTGGGCGGGGGCCTGGTCTTGGGACCCCTGTCTGCCAGCCTTGCCTTCCATCCCGGCCCCCCCCGCCCAGCTGTTGGAGCTTGGCCGGAACGCAACCCCCGGGACCCTCCCTCCTGGTCCATCGGTGGGTGGTCCTGTCGCTCAGCTGAGTGACCGTGAGCACTGGCGGGGACAGCACAGGGAAAGGCTCAGTGAGAGGTCACAGTCATCGCTACTTTTAGATGATTTCTTTAGACTTTTACAGCTAATTATCGACAGGTATAAACTCCAGAGAATTTTATTTCCAGGCATTAGGCCGTCATATTTGGAAAACCTGAATTCTTGGTGGGCGATAGCTGATACAAGGGTTTGTTACGTGTCCATAAAAACATCACAGCAGCCTCCAAGCCTGAATGTGCCCCACATTGTCACATCACCTGACCCCTGACCCCTGCCACGTGGTGGCAAAGCACCGACTTCCTGAAGGGGACCGGGTGGTCCCACCCGGGAGGCTCGTCTCCCATCTCAAGTCTCTCGTCAGAGCGCGTGGGGGTCTGTGATTTGCGATCAGACTTCAGAGCGGGTTTCTGAGGACTTCACCTCACCAGAAAGTTGCTTTGAGACTTAACTCTAAGATCGGGGGAGACTTTGTAACTAGTCGGTGCCAGTACTGTCGTGCATGCAGACGGCCGTGCGGCGGCTCCGAGACCCGGATGCCGACTGACGCCTGTGACTTCGTGCTGTTCTGTCCTGTGCCGCTCACTGAGCACGCTGGTGTGTCGGTGATTAACTCTGTCTGAGCATGCAGTGTCCTCTTAATAAATATTCTGTGTTGAGACGAAGTGTTTAGGGGAATCTCTAAGTAACTCCATATTCAGGAGCATGAGGAGGCATCAGGAGGTCCACACCACTTACCTGGACGGGGAGGCGGAGGGAAAGGGGCTCGCCCGCACCTCCTGCCGACCCGCAGCCCGTCCCCCAGGACAGGCCGGGAGCCCATCCGCCGATCCGGCCCGACCGAGCCCCCCGCTGGAGCCAGGGTCTGCGGGGGCAGCGCTGCAGGCAAATGAAACGTCGGGACCGTCACAGAGACCATACGGTACCTCTCCCACTCTTGACACCAGCCTCCAAATGCAATGTCAAGGTCATTTATCAAGGGCCAGCAGGTGCAGAACCTTGAGAACCAAACGCAAACACCTTCATGTCCATTTGAACACCGTGGTGGAGAGAACCTGGATTCCACTCTCACCTCTGAGTGGAACCAAATCATCAAAACAAGCAAGCAAACTAGAACCAGAGACATGGAAATTAAGAACAAATTGACAGGGGCCAGTGGGGAGAGGGGAGGGGAAAAAGGAGAAAGAAGGGGGGGTCATCAAGGAACATGTATAAAGGACCCCTGGACAAGGACAACAGGGGAGGGGGAGGATCGAATGTGGGAGGTGGGGTGTGTACGCAGGAGAAGCGTAATGGGGGGAGACAACTGTAATTAAACAATTAAAAAATAACCTGGCATAGCAGGTGCTCAGACCTGCTGGTTTAGTGGAGTGTGGCTAGAAGAATGAGTGAAGGAAGCTTACCCTGGTTTTCTCTCAGATATTTCTCTCAGATATATATATATACATGCATACACATACACACATGTACACACGCACAGTCATATACTGTTTACCGTGCTGTCGGCAACCTGCAAATGGAGCATCTTAGAATTTCTGTCCTTAACACACAGAATGACCTCGACAATTCATTGGGCACCAAGGAATAATCTGAACATTCAAAGCATCTTTTAAAAGAGAACCAACCACATTACCTCTTTTTAAAAAACTGTCGGTTCAAATAAATATGTATTTTAAGAAACCAACTCCATTTGGCTCTTTTGATGGTATGGGCTCAGCCAGTTGGAAAGAAAAAAAAATGTCTCTTCAATTCCATCAAACAAACCCAGGTCTTTTTGTCCGTTTTATTTTGTTTCAACAAAATAATTTGATCAAATCTCCACCGGTTATGTCGGCACCGTCTGAAGAGTGAAATAGAATTTGGTTAGATTCCCGCTGCCTTCAGAAATTTTCCAGTGCTTCTGAAGCTTTGCCTCGGGTGTAACCAAGGCATTACAAAGAACTATTCAATAAAAATCACTCAGATCTTAATTACTGAATCTTATGATACTTTAAAGAATTATGGACTTAACTGCCTGCTTGTGCTTTCTATGCAGGAAAGGACTAGCGAACCTATTCATCATGTTAATGGAAAAGGTTGAAGGATAGTAAACCACTTAAAGAAACACATGTTCTATCCTGGCTGGTGTAGCTCAGTGGATTGAGCACCAGTCTGCAAACCGAGTGATTACAGGTTCAATTCCCAGTCAGGGCACGTGCCTGGGTCCCCAGTAGGGAGCACATGAGAGACACCCACACATGGATGTTTCTCTCCCTCTTTCTCTCTCCTTCCCCTCTGTCCAAAACTAAATAAATAAAATATCTTAAGTTTAAAAAAAAAAACGAATTTTACACTTTGGTGATTTCACATTGTCCCAATTAACTAGCTTGAGTTTCAGCTGTGAGTAAACAGGTCTCAGCATAAAGTAAACTGATCGCCTTTCAAAATGGGATTTGGGCTTTTTTTAAAAAAAGAGACACCATCAATTTTAGCGATGCTATTCTAAGAAATAGAATTAGGGCCTTTCTTAGTTTTTTACAATCAAAGGAAAGTGACCAGATGACCAGAAGTTTTCCTGATACGGCTGAATTCCTTTCGTCCTGGGAGTAGGCAGTATTTCTTTAAAATGTTCTTGCTCTGGAATTAGGCTAGGCAGAAATGTGGAAACAAGTTTAGGTGACAGCCGGTTTGACTCCCTGGAGGCAGCTCTTTTCCACCATCACTAACACAGGGGTAACTGGGGTTCAAGGGTGCAGGACTGAATCATGGCCCCCAATGCCTACGCTGGTGCCCTGCCCCCAGTGTTCTGATCCAGTGTGGCCATATTTGGAGACAGGCCTTAACGAGGTAACGAAGGTTAGATGAGGCGTTAAGGCCAGGACCCTAAGCCAACAGGGTGAGTGTCCCTGGGAGAAGAAGGAGGCCCGAGAAGTTTCTGGGGCGCTCAGGATGGACCATGGGAAGGCACCGCAGGTGACGTGCAGCCTTGCACGCCAGTCTCACCTTGACCTTGGACGTCCAGTCTCCAGCACTGTGAGAAAATCGACTTCTGTTGCTTAGGTTGCCCCATATGTGGTGTTTGTTACTGCAGCCCAAACAGATTCTTGCAGCAAGTTTAAAAATGAACAATTTCCCTCTTTCCCTTCCCCTTCAAAACCCTCCAGTTGCACAGTAAAAATGGAAGCCGCCCGCCGCGGGTGCTGCGTGGTTTTGGTTTTCAGTAGGTTTGCAGCCACCGCGGCCCTACCTGCGCCCAGTGAGAAGGGCCGGTGAGAGAGCGAGCGTTAAAGCCAATTGCTCCTTGAAGGCAGAAGAGGTGGCTCTTCTGTTCCCGAGGACGGTGTCCCCGTGTTGGCTTCACTGCGCAGAAGTCGGTGGCGCGAGTTCGCGTCACCCCTGGCCCTGCCCGGGGTGCATCTCCACACCAGTCTGCTCCGCTCGCGGGACAGAGACTGCAGACCACGCGCTCCGGCGACGCGTTGTTTTCTCACGGTTCTGGGGGCTGAAGTCTCAGATCGAGGCTCCCAGCCACCCTGCTTCTGGGGAGGGCCCCGTCCCGGCGGTGGACTGCTGCCTTCTCACGCTGTCCTCGCAGGGCCCTCCCTGTGCGCCGGCCGTCCGCCGGCTATTCTCAGAAGGGCACGGGTCCGTCAGGTCGGGTCCCACCTCTTGGGACCTCCTTTCCCCTTCGAGGCCCATCTCCAAATACAGTCGCACTGGGGGGTTAGGGCTGCGACGCAGCAGTATCGAGGGACAGGAACATTCGTTCTGTGGCGATCTGTACACGCAACAACCTGCCTTCTAAGGCTATGTTTTCAAATATTTTATTTCTTTCTTTTCAGAGAGAGGGGAAGGGAGGAAGGAAGGAAGAGACACGTCAATGCTTTGTTGCCTCTCCTGAGCCCCCGACTGGGGTCCTGGCCCACAACCCCGGCAAGTGCACGGCTGGGAATCGAACCGGAGACCCTCCGGTTCACAGGCCAGCACTCAGTCCACTGAGCCTCACCAGCCAGGGCCTGAGGCTATTTTTAAATGAATTTTTAAAGCTCCCAAATTCTAGCAAAAGAGAAAGGGGGCAGGGACCCTGCTGGGCACACAAGCGCTGAGATAAAATGCTGCCTTTCCACAGCGACTTATTCCAACAGGAAGCCGTCGGCACCTACCTCCCAGCAGGAGACCTGGCCAGAGAAAACCCAAGGTAAACCGCGGGGCCCATTCTGGCAGGAGCTGGCGAGGCCAGCCTACGCCAGGACGCCCGGGCAGGTGCCAGGAAGCCTGGGCAGCTGGGACCTGGCAGGTGATCTGGGAACAAGCTGGGGGCTGCCGGGGGCCTTGGGGGGGGGGAGCGGAGGAAGCAGCACTGGACACGGCACTCCCCGGCGAAGAGCGGTGCCAACTGCTGTCCTCTGGGTTTCGTGCCCATATGGCCACATGGCAGTCTCAGCCATGGGTCGGTGCCTCGCCACGTTCCCTGGAAAAGCCGCTGCAGACGTCTACCCAAGTACCTCCGGGAGACAGGTGTCTTCAAAGGGAGCCACGAAGTGAGCACTTGCAGCCCACTCCCTGGGAATGCGCTGCTCCCCAGCCGCCGTAGTGGAGGGGAGACTTCTGAGGGTGTGATAGTGGCTGAGCAAAAAAGGGCTGGGTGTGTGCGCTTTTACTACTACGGTGGCTCTACTCCTTCCTTTTGCTTTTAAAGATTTTATTTACTTATTTTTAGAGAGAGGGGAAGGGAGGGAGGAAGAGAGGGAGAGAAACATCAAGCGTGGGTGCCCCTCACACGCCCCCTACTGGGGACCTGGCCTGCAACGCAGGCAGGTGCCCTGACTGGGAATGGAACTGGTGACCCTTTGGTTTGCAGCCTGGTGCTCAATCCACGAAGCCACACCAGCCAGGGCTCCTCTATTATTATAGCCTCAACTTGGCTGCCAGGTTCATCTTCCACTATTTAAAAAAAAACCCATGCTGCCTCTGGCCTCCTGAACCCAGGGCAGAACCCTCTGCCCCAGATTCAAGCAAGGGCCTCCGCAATCCGAGCCCACCAGGTCAGCTGTCACTTCCGCCACCAAACACACCGCTCACCCCAAACGGGATGCTCACCTTTCCCTCTCCTCTCTGCTCCCCGCCCACAGCCTGCCCACTCCCTGTGTGCCACCTCCTTCATGAGTGGCCTTCTCTGTGACACCGAGTCCTCCCTCTGTCCACAACTGCTCCTGAAGGGCCTGTTACATTCCACACCCTCAGAGGCAGCGCTTTCCTCCCCGTTCTTTTTTGCCCACCGTTGTCCACGGCTTAGACTGAACACTCTTAGCCCTGGTCTCCCCACTTTGTTACATGTGTGGAAAAGGCACTTACATGTTTTAGTTCCCAGTTCAGTCGGTTCTTGGACACAGTCTCAATTTAACTGTAGTTGATTTGTATGAACCTGAACATATCCGGCTTTGCTGCCTCCCACAGCACATGGTATTTGTTGGCGTTAAACGTGTATTATAACCAGTCAACCTGGTGGATACTTACTTCTGTGCCTTTCTTGGAGGAATAGAAGGAAAGAGAGAAGACCTGGCCATTCCTGGAAGATTTCTTTCACTCGCCTGACGCTGTCCCTAGCCCTAACCTGTTAGAGGAATAATGCAGAGCTCAGACTGTGCGTTGGACTCCAGCTTAAATACTGGGCATTTAGGTAGGGCCTTGGTCAGGGACGTTCCCCAGCCCTGATTAAAGCATTGCTTTCTGCACATGCTTAACACTCAGCAAGCAGCTGTCGAGTGAGTGAATACGTGAGCCTCGCGCGGCCTTCAAGCCCCTTATATTTTCACAGAATAAACCGGGTACAGGTGATGAACAAATACGTGGATGAGCCAGACGACTTCAGAGCGTGATCCAGTTACTACAGAGGAAACAAAGTAGGGTCATTAACGCGAAACACTATGCAGCAGTATGCAAATTTGGACATTTTTGTCGGCGGAGTCAAGCAACGCCAAGAGCACGGTTCAGTGGTTAGAAGCGCAGGGTCTGGAGACGGTTTCCGGCTTCCCAGCCCAGCCTCCGCCGCCCGCTGTGTGGCTCTGGACACGTAGCTTCGCCTTCCCGGCCTCGCTCCCCGCGCCCTCCAACGGCGCCTGCGGCAGGAGGTGAGCTGGAGGATGGAGGAGCTGGTAGGAAAGTGTTTGGCCCTGTGCCTGGCAGCGCAGGAAGCGTTCACCAAGTGCTAGTAGCCGCTACCGTAATTCGTGTTAATTCACTAGGTGCCAAAGGGCGGGTGAAATGTCAGGCCCCCAGGGCCCCCGAGCCCTGCCCAAGGCAGGTAGCGGAGCAGGGCTGAGCTGGGCAGTTTTGACCTTGAACTGAGGTCCCAGGAGGCCCAGGAGTCCGTGCCCGCTCTCCTGGGGCGCCGGCCCCCCGCAGCGATCGTGCGCGCAGTTTCCGGACCGGAGACGTGGACCCCGGGACCCTCGCCCGGAGCTCGGCGGCGGCGAGTCCGAGGCACCGCCCCCAGGGGCGATTGGCGGGGAGGGCGCGAGGGGCGCGCGGGCGGGGCGGGGCGGGGCGGGACGTGCGCGCAGGCTACGCGGCCGACACGCGGCGCTCGCGCTCCCCGCTTAAATGAGCTGGGGCTCCCCGCGCCCGCCGCCACTTGAGCCGGGCCCGCCCTGGTGCCGTCCCTCGCACCCGCACCACTCGGCTCAGGGCCGGTCCATGGGACAGAGCGCCGGGGGGCCGGAGGCGGCGCCCGTCGGGGGGCTCGGGCAGCGCGGGGGCCAGCGGGGGGCTCGGGGATGGCGCGCTGCGGGACCTGAGCGCAGCGGGCGGGGAGGCCGCCTGGTGGCCGCGATGGGCACGGAGCGGGGCCGCCGCTGCGCCGGGCCGTGAGCGCTGCGCTCCGCCGCCGCCTCGCCGCCGCCCGGGCCCCCCGCAAGCGCCGGACCGCCGGGAACATGGCCCTGGAGCAGCTCGGCTCGGTCCTCAAAGGTAAGCGCCCGGGGCTCGGAGCACGGCGCCCCCTGCGGGCCGAGGCCGGTGCTCGGTCCCTCCGGCTTCCGCGCGCCTTTGTCTGCGGGCGCAGCGCTGGGCTCCCGGCCGGGGACGTGGGACCCACAGGACCGGGTGGCGGGCCACGCTCCGTAAAGTTGTCGCGTTCGGGTCAGTGCGGCGAGGCCGGCCTTTCCCGACAGGGAATGCCCAAGTCGGCGCACGCGGACCCGGACAGCACGCCACAGCGTCGCCGAGCCCGTCTCCGCGAGCCCACCGTGGGCGGGCGGCGGGACGGCCTGCGCGCCCGGCCGGGTCCCACCTGCCGCGGCCGGGAGGCTGCGGCACCACTGCGGCCGGCCGCCGCCGCCGCTCGGCCCCGCGTTGCCCGGACCTCGGCCCCGCCTGCCGCCGCGTCCGCGCTGGGCTGGGTCGCGGGCTGGGCAAGTGCGCGGGCGCTGGAACACGTCGCCCGCTGCTGCTTCGCACGCCGGGGCCGGGGGCGTTTTAGGTTAAAACGTAGATGCAGATCGCGAAGACCGACATAAAGTTGCAACTGCAACTCGGGCCGGATAAAGCCCATTTCCAGTCCCCGAAGGAACACAGACCTCGGGGGAGCCTTCCCTGTCCCCCGCCACCCGGGATCGAACATGGAATAGCTGTGTGTTCGTCACATGGTGAAATACGCTCCTTTTCCCCACCCGGGAAGGAGTGCGGGGTGGCATCGTAATCGCTGCGTGTAGCGCTTGTCGTGGACTCTGGATGCGTGTGCAGTGACGGACGGTGTTTCTCCCCCACTCCCCACCAACGCCTTTTTTGAATTTGTTTTATTAGAAAACTCAGTGTGATTTTGCGTTCAAGTCTGACTCGGAGGAGTCCTCTATTCTTAAACTCAGAATGGAGATTTCAGTAATGGAATGTGACGCGTTTCACGCCCGGCTCTGTACTTCCACCACAGTTTGGCACGAAGGGAACCCAGGACTCTCTAGCTGGTCCCTGTATCTCAGTTACCCCATACTTTCCTAGTGACTCCCTCGTTCTATCAAAATTGAAAACGCTGGAATGAATTCCATAGCTGTTCCTACCCATCACTCCTCCGTGACACAGCCATTGCTTGGAAATGAAGAAGCTTTTGCTTTACAATAAAACACGCGGAGTAGGATTTCTGCTAGTGCCCCTCCTCGGAATTTTCTCCGTTGCCCCTCCCGCGATGGGTTTATCAACAGCCTCCTGATGGTCCACGGGAGTGGGCGCTGGGGAGAAGTCCCTGGGTTTGCTGCACGGCTTTGCCTGCAGAACTCGCAGAAACTGACCTGGCCAGGACAGATGGCCCTGCTCCTGGATGTCGAAGCGTGCAGCCGGCGCCTCGCTCCCGAGTGAGCACTGCCCTCTCTGGCCAAAGAGCGGAAGCGCGGGCGGTCGCTGCACTTTCAGGAAAGGCTCCCGTGGAAACAATGTAGCGTCTGGTTCTTCTCTTTCTACTGTTGCCCAGCCCGTTGTGCTCTCACACGCTCAGGCTAAACGGTTGCTGTGTTCCAGGACCACTGGTCAGAAAGCAAGCCATCCATCGCTAAGTCTTCTAAAATGTATGTGTCTGTGATGGTGAAGGTGGGGATGTAAATATCCATCGGGAAATTAACACCAGTGCCTTCTGAGGAGGGGATCTGACACCCAGAAGCAAGAGTGAAACGTATCAAGGTGAGATCAAATGTATCTCCAGGGTGTGGAGAAATAACACCACCGAGTGTGGCTGGCAGGCTGCCTCGCACGAGATGGACAGCCATTGGAACATGTCACCAAAAATGTCATGTGGTTACTTGAGTGTGATACTGTTATGTTACAGAATGACATGCTCATGGTTTTGTAATAAAAGATTTGATGTAAGAAAAAAGGGACGTTATTTGTGCCAGACCCTGTATGTTAGGTTAATTAACTGTGTGTACATTGGATTAAAATGTAGCTACAGATCCCAAAGACTGATACAAAGTTGCTTCTGCAACTCAGGCGGAATAAAGCCCATTTCCGGTCTCAGGAGCCCAGAGCACAGGGAAGGCCCCCCTTTCCCCTGCTAATCCCCGTGAATATACCGCCACACACCGCTCTGTATCACTCGAATTTTTGAACCAGAGGCATGTGTGACCTATACAAAAACTGACATTTCAGCCCTGGCTGGTGTGGCTCAGTGGACTGAGCGCAGGCCTGCAAACCAAAGGATCGTGGTTCAATTCCTGGTCGGGGCACATGCCTGGGTTGCAGGCCAGTTCCCAGCAGGGGACCCACGAAGGGCAAACCATACATTGATGTTTCTCTTCTTCTCTCCTTCCTTTCCCCTCTAAAGATGAATAAATAAACTCTTTTTTTTAAAAAATGACATTTTTAGGTTTAAAAAAATTGCCTTTTAAAAGCGTTGGCTTTTTTCCACTCGTTGTGTGCACCAGGATGTGGAGAAGTATCTCCTAAGTATCCCGTCGGGTGAATTGCTTCAACGTGAAGAGGTTCTTATCAGAAACAGCTCTTTACCATTTGCATAATTACAGACATTACCCACTAGAAGCCTTGTCTGTGACTTTGCGGTCTGCGAACTCTGAAACCAGTGGGCTGTTGCTACCGAGCGTGAGAGCCTGAGGGAAGGAGGTAGGTTCTTTTCCAAGCTGCTTTCGGCAGCGAGAACAAAGGAACAACTGCAGGCTTTTTAAACCTTCCCAGTATTGTTGCAGCCAAGGAACTGCCTCTGAATCGTTTGTGGCCGCTCCAGGCCTTACGGAGTCCGGCGTTGCCAGGGCTGGGCATCGCAGTCCCGTGAAGGCTTACCTCGGGTCTATAACTCACTGTCTTACCGTTTTTGCTCAGTCTGCGCACCGGCTGCAGGAGAATCCTGTTAGACTCCGTTAGATTTAAATCTGTGTAGACTGGGGTTAAATTTATGGGGTGATAAAGCATAAATGTTCCTTGGCAGTGTATTTGAAAAAATTTATGTGAGACCGTGACTAATATCACCTCCTGTCCTTTATTCTTAAGCCTCTTACCTAAGAAAGTAAACTCTGCAGGAATGAGTACAGGACTGAAAAGCCATCGGGGTGAGACCATTTCTGGTTGATAACATGTTACAGGTTTCAGGTGTACAAATCTTTAATGCGTCATCTGTATGTTGTGGTGTGTGTCCAACCACGGCAAGTCGAGTCTCCTTCCATCACCACTTATCTATCCCCCCTTTACCCTCCTGTCCCTCCCCCCCTTTCCCTCCGGCCGTCGTGATACTGTTATCTGTGTCCATGAGGGCTTTCTTCTTCCTTTGTTAACCCTTCACCTTTGCACCCAGCCCTCCCACGCCCGCCCCCTCTGACAGCTGTCAGTCTGTTCTCTGTATCTGTGAGTCTGTTCCTATTCTGTTTGTTTGTTTTCATCATTAGATTCCAGTTATAAGTGAAATCATTGTATTTGTCTTTTACCAACTGGCTTATTTCACTGAGCACACTACTCTCCAGGTCCCTCCATGCTGTCACACAGGGCACGGTTTCCCTCTTTTCGGACGGCCCAGCAGTGCTCCACTGTGTGAAGGCGCCACAGCGCTCCTGTCCACTCCCTACCGGTGGGCACCTGGGCTGCGTCCAGGTGTTGGCTGTCGTAAATAACGCTGCAGTGAACACAGGGGTGCTTACGTTCTTTTCAGTCAGCGTTCCGGGTTTCTTCGGATATGTTCCCCAAAGTGGGGATCACCGGGCCGTGAGGCAGACCCATTGATTTTTAGAGGCATCTCCACACTGCTGTCCACGGTGGCTGCCCGGTCCGCATTCCCGCCAACCGTGCACGAGGGTCCCTTTTCGCCACGTCCTCGCCAGCACTTTCTGTTTGCTGACCTGGTGATAACAGCCATCCTGACAAGCGTGAGGTGGTATCTCCTCGTGGTTTTAAATTTCATTTCTCTGACAATTAGCGACACTGAGCGTCTCTTCGTGCGTCTGTTGGGCATCTTTGAAGAAGTGTCTATTCACGTCCTTTGCCAGTTTTTTAATTGGCTTATTTGGGGTTTTTTGAAGTTGTTTGTTTAAGTTCTTTATAAATTTTGGATATTAACCCCTCATCAGATGCATCATTGGCATATACGTTCTCCCATTCAGTGGGTTGTCTTTTTCTTTAGTTGATGGGTTCCTTTGCTGTGCAAAAACTTTTTAGTTTGATGTGGTCCCATTTGTTTCTTTTCTCTTTTGTCTCCCTTGCCCAAGAAGATCCATCAGAAAAAAATATTGCCACGAGAAGTGTCCGAGACTGTGTTGCCTGTGTTTTTCTCTAGGATTCGTACAATCTGGAGTTTTCACACTTAATCCTTCAACTCATTTTGAGTTTATTCTGGATTATAGTGTACAAAGGTTGGTCTGGTTTCTTTTTTTTTTTTTTTGCATGTATCTGTCCAATTTTCCCAACACCGTTTATAGAATAGACTTATCTTCACCCCATTATGTATGTTTGCCTCCTTTGTCAAATAGCAATTGAAATAAGGTGTCGGTGTATTTCTAGATTGTCTATTCTAGTCCCTTGATCTATATGTCTGTTTTTATGCCGGTACCATGCTGTTTTGATTACTATAGCCTTGCAGTGTAGTTAGATTATCAAGTAGCATGGTTCCTCCAACTGTGTTCTTCTTTCCCCAGATTTCTGTGGCTGTTCTGGGCCTTTCATGGTTCCATATAAATTTTTGAAATATTTGTTCTAGTTCTGTGAATTACGCCATTGGTATCTTGATAGGAATTGCCCCGAATCTATAGATGGCTTTGGGTAATATGGACATTTTCGTGATGTTAATTTTCCCTACCCATGAAAACAATATATGCTTCCACTTACGTGTATGTTGAACTTATTTCTTCAGCGTCTTATGATTTTCTGAGTCCAGGTCTTTTACATCCGTGGTTACATTTATTCCCAGGGATTTTTTTCACCACTGCATTGCCAGTGAGATTGTTTTCTTAGTTTCCCTTTCTGATGGTTCACATCTTCCTAGTCAAAGAGCTGACAGGCGCCCTGGTCAAAGCAAGTTGCCACGACCCGAGATGCGCCGTGGACTCGGACGGAACTAACTCTGCCCTGCTTTCATGACTGAGAATAGCAAGGAGCCGGGGGACCAGTCGGCCAGTTGCTACATTCTGCATCTCCTGATTGATTTTACAAACTGTATGTTCACCACTTAGGTGCTTGACACCAGCCCGGTCAGTTACTAACAGCTTGAGAAAAGTGAGAGGAGCGCATGGCTGAGTAGCGGGAAAGAAAAATAAGCCAGTCTTTTCCTGCCCCCTGGTTTATGCTCAAATAGAAAGCAGCTGGTTCATCTGGGCGGCGGTTGTCATCGAGAGGTTTGCCCGTGGGCCTGGGCGCGGTGGCCTCCCTGCTCCGTGTGGCGTGGGCACAGCGAAGGCGCACCCAGGGTCACACTTGGGCCCCTCCTGTCTTTGTCCAGTATTTACTGAGGGCTGTTGGGGGGCGGGCAACCTTCTGGTCTCTGGAAGGGCATCAGTGAATCAGACTCTCCAGGCCCTCTCTCTGGTAGGAAGAGACAGAGAAGCAACAAGAAAATGCAGCTAGTCTAAGTGATCAGAATAAATAATCACTTGTATAATAAACAGGATGGAGCGGAAACACATAGCTTCTTTAGAAGTCAGGCAGGTCCCCCAAGTCCCGAACGGCAGGAAGGGAGCCCACTGTGCGGAGATTTTGGCGGAAGGCAGGCTAATCCCTGAGGCGGGAGTGGGCTCGGTCTGCGGGAGAAATGGGGAGAGACACCGGGAGGCCATAGGCGGCCGTGGGTCGGGCCGGGGCAGTCGGGTCCCAGATCCCGCAGGGCCTGCGCAGCCGGGGGGTGGGGTCTGGATTTATTCTGTGTCAGGGGACTCGGCGGGCGACTTGGGAAAGGCAGCCATGGATCTGACTGCTGTTTTGAAAGGCTCCCTGGCTCCTGGGAAGAGGGAGCAGGACGGGCTCCGTGTCTGGGGCAGAAACAGCCGCCTCCCTGTCTCCGTTTGACCCTCCAGCAGTTCCCTGAGTTTCCGCCGAGCACAGCCGTCCTGAATACAGGCTGCGCCTTCCCACGGTCCTGGTGGGATGAGATGTGGCCGGGGGACCTGGCTGGCAGGTCAGGTCTGTGTGCCACTTTGGGGAAGTGGCCTTGTTTGCATTTAGTCAGAATTGTTTATGTTGCAATCCGTTGTAGACTCTGGGCTAGTGTGTTTGTTTGTTTGTTTGTTTGTTTGTTTGTTTGTTTGTTTTTACGTGTATCCTCACCCAAGGATATTTTTTCATTGTTTTGAGAGACAACATCAAATGTGAGAAAGATTGATGGTGGCCTCTCTCGTGCCCCCTCTGGGGTCTGAACCCGCAACCCAGGCATGTGCCCTGACGGGGAATCCAACCCGCAACCTTTCAGTTTACTGGGTGGCGCTCCAGCCGGCTGAGCCACGCGGCCAGGGCCCGGGCAAGTATTTTTAAAGGAAGGAGGAGTGGCCGCTGTCGTTTTTCCTTGTGCTGACATCCCCTAGGTGTGCGGTCAGTGGAAGAAGCGAGCCCAGGCGAGGGGGCAGCTGAGTAGTGGGGGGCGGGAGGGGGGGTCTCGCTGCCGTCAGATGAAACTCACCGGAAGGCGTTTCTTGGGGAAGCAGGGTTTCCTTGGGGGAGGGGCGGCCTCCTTCTGTGTCCTTCAGGACACAGTCCTGGCCCTGAGCCGTGGTCTTCAGGGTGTGACCCCAGGGCCACAGCGTCGGCGTCACACGGGTGCTGGTTCCAAAGCCAGTTCTCCCACCCGCCCCACCCCACCCCCAGGTCATGCTCTCTGGAAGCCCCCATCCGAGTTTCTGTAGCCCCGTCCCGCAGTAATGCGATGCGCGGCGACTTGAGAGCCGCGGAGAGCTCGGTTCCCAGAGGGTCCTGGGCCCTCTGGAGAGGGTGGCCCGCGGGCGGGCCGGGGCAGAGCCCGGCACCACGCCGGCGCCTCTCATACCGACTCATCCCCGTGTCTGGCATTCGGGGAGTTTGTTTGAATATGTCTGCCCGACTAGAACGAGGGGCTTGCAGGGGTCCTGCCACGCGGCCGGGAGGGAACGGTTTGTTAGGGTGAGGAGCTGGAATGACTGGTTGGCACAGCTCTGTCCGTCAGGGCTGTGCCCATTGGCCCGGTCCTTGCGCATCATTTTCGTGCTGACTGGCCCGGCGCCGGTGGGTCAGCTGCGAATGGTTTTTGTAAACTTGAGGAGAAAAAATTATGAGCGTCCCTCTGCAGAAAGTAGGAGAGAAACGCAGGTGTCTTTGGCCTTGCAGTGTTAGGTTTATGATGACCGTCCTGCCTTCCTTGCGCGTTCCGTGCAGATTTCATAAACCGGACATTTCACACGACCAAAATTTCACTGGTCGTCACGGAATACGATTTTCCTGCCACGGTTCATCTTCCTGCTGTGGTTTTGCTGTTTTTCTCCCGGTCTTCAGCGTGTCCATTGCTTCCTCGCCCTGGCTGCCCGGCTTTGCGTTACTTGCTGACACCCTGTGAATTATAAATACGGGGACCGGTCAGTTGCTGAGCCTGCGACTCCGGGGTAAAGGGGATGCTGAGGACTCAGATCCCACCAGTTTCCTGTCGTCTGAATGGTGGGCCCTGGCAACCAGCGTCCTCCGACCAGATAAACTGATACAAATGGGTTGTCAGAGGTCTGAGGTGACCCTGGTTTCCTTCTCCATCACCAGTCTCCTGTTTTTAAGTTTGCACATATTTCAAGATCCCATTCCTCTAACTCTGACCCAGCACAAAGCGGTGAAGAGTTTGGAGGCAGGGTTGTTACTTGTAACACGAGATCTTCGACGCCGCTGGCAACCAGAGGAGGGCAGGGGACCTTGAAGTCGCTAAGAGGGGACAAAGGTCGGCCAGGATTCAGGAGACCAAAGATGAAGAGGACAAGGGATTGGATTATAAGGTATAAACAGCTAACTGGCGAGGACTGTTTGTGCCTGCTGGTGACTTTGGGGGCAGACACTTGGGGCCCGCCGTGGAGTGTGTGGTGGTGGGCCACCCCCAGTGACTTGGCCAGCTACTGCACCCCTCCCCTCCTGTCCTGCACCGACTTCATCAGACTCTGCATCCGAATGGTGTTACGAACTCGCTGTGTCCGCCACCACCACTCCGCCCCCAGACCTTGTCACCTGGGCGTCCTGCATGACCTCCTCTCGTCTCCTTACCCTCTCGGACTCCACCCCACTGTCCAGATTACCGGTCTGATGTCGCTCTGGGTCACAGACCCACCGCAGCTGCTCGTGAAGGTCAGGAGTCCGATCACTTCAGCGCGGCACCCGACGTCCCTGCACCGGCTGTCCTCCGACCCCCACCAGCTGCCTCCCCCACTCGCTCCCCCAAGTGTCCACGCCTCTGCACCGGTCCAAGCTGTTTCTCCCTCTCCCAGACCCACGTCCCGGGAGGTCCAACCAGGTCATACCGTCTCTTTCTGCATTGTCCTTGCCCTGTTCGTCTGCAGTCGCGGCGGGACAAACAGGCCCCCCCCCCTTCGGTCTTCCCCTCGCACTGGGCCCAGTCTCTGAGGGCGGTGGCCTGGCTCCCTAGGGAGGGCGCTGGTCCCGATGCCTCTTGTCTTTCGGCAGCACGCCTTGCCCACAAAAAGTGCTGCGTGCGTCATCCTCTTCACCTTCACAAGCACCTTACAGAGTCCGTGCTGTTAGGGCAACTCCCCACCTGGTGTTTTTGCATATAAGAGAACTGGGCCCTGGCTGGTGTGGCTCAGTGGATTGAGCACTGGCCTGTGAAGCAAAGAGTCACTCGTTCCATTCCCAGTCAGGGCACACGCCTGGGTTGCAGGCCAGGTCCCCAGTGCGGGACGCATGAGAGGCAACCACACATTGATGTTTCTCTCCCACACTTTCTCCTTCCCTTCCCCTCTCTCTAAAAATAAATTTAAAAAAAGAAAAGAAAAAGAAAACTGGGCTCACGGGCCCCACAGTTGGGGTGCAGCAAAACCTGAACCCCAGCCTAGTCCCGCCTGACCCCTGCGGTCCACCCTCTTGACTCTTGTGCTGGGCTCCGTCCCCATGTTGTGCATTCCGGGACCTGCTCTCTGCAGGTGCTTCTCGACGGAACGAATCAGGACACCTCCAGTCCGCCCCTGACTTCAAGGCAGGACTGGTTGGTAGCGGGGTTTCCACTCAGACGGATTGTGAAAGATACCAGGGCGCCGTTCATAAAAATAAGATATTTAAAAGCACCTTCAAAGCACACAAAATTCATCATGTTGTTGACTGGGTCTCAGAAATGCTCAGCCCTGGTGGGGGGGAAAGAGCTTCGTTTTCTACATTCTCTCGCCTTTGTGACATGGGACCCAGCCTCGCGGGGCGGAGCTGGAAGGTGCCGGCTGCATTTCTAGGAGTCTGCTGCCCCCTTACTTCTGTTCTCATTACGCGTGCTCCTGACAGTCAGGCCGTCTCAGGGAAGGTTTCCTGGCACACCGTGTGGCAGGGCCTGGCCGTGGTGCTTGCCAGACTCTCCGGGATGCAGGAGAGAGCACATGGGAGAATAATCGGGGTCAGCAAACTAGTCGTAAAAAAAGTGTGCATTCTTTTAACCCGTCGCAAACTGAAAAACGCTCCGCATGGCCTGTGTGCTCAGGGCTGGTACAAGTCAGTGCCGTACCCGGCGTGTTTTTTCTCGGGTTGTCTGAAGAGTAGGTAATCGGCACACATTGTCGAACCCTTAGAAACCTTGAAAGTGGAATGTTAGTAGGAAACAGCGGGTTTAGCTCCCCTTGTTTTGCCATCTGATTCTCCTTACAAACCACGTCGGATGCATCGTAGGTTCAGTTCTGTAACGGTGTCTCTCTGCTGTTCCCCCAGTGTTGCTGGTCACGGTGCTGGTGGTGGAAGGGATCGCCGTGGCCCAGAAGACGCAAGGTATGGCGCTGGTGGGGACCACGGGCACGTTCAGGATGGTGGGGGTGGCTTGTCTGAAAGGACTGTGGCTTTGGGGGGCTGGTTCCATCCTCCGCTGGGGGGTCCAATGGCCTGAGGCTCTCTGTCCAGCTGTCCAGCTGTCCGCCCCCACTTAGCTGAGTTCAACAGCAGTTCCCTCAAGTGCATTGTCAAAGGTGAAGTCCGCCCTGAGAAGCCTCCCAAATCAGCATCACTGGGAGCCCCGAGGACACCACAGATTTTGTCCGAAAGCCACATGGGGTTGGGGCTTTATCACTGAGCAAAAGCGAAGACCCATGTTCCCGCACAGGCAGGTGATGCATGTCCACCGGTGTCTTACTCAAAGCCCCGTGGGCCCGGTCACATTGTCCCCTCATTTATAGAAGAGGATTAATGAGTGTGGTTTCTGAGCCAGATTGTCATGTGAGAGCTGAGTGATTTCTTGTATAATCTGATTTAGCTTTTCATCTTGGTCAAAGTCATGCATGCACGGGACAGGAATTTGAGCGTTCTGAATGGTTAGCCAGGAAGACGTGGTGCCCCGCCCCACCCTCATCCACGACCTTTCCCCGAGGCCGGCCACCGTTGGGGCTGACTCCTGGTGTCTCCCGCCTGTTGCTAAACGAGGTTCTTCCTGCTGCTACTTCCTCACTTCAGGAGAAGCTAAAGGGAATGACTTCCCACGAGGTGGAAGATGAGAACAGAGCTCTCTGGCCCCTCCCCACGCCCCTCCCTGGGCACGCAGCCCTTTCCAACCTGCACCCTGTCCCCCCCCACCATGCCCTCATTTCGGTTCCATCAGAGCTCGGGACTTACCCCAGGACGCTCAGCGAGCATTTTCAACGTGAAAAGGTCGTCTTTCCAGGCAGGAAACGTTTCCCTCCCTCTTCTTTCCCTTTCCTCTGCTGTCGTGGTGTGAGAGCTGCGGACAGTAGGCACCAGAGTGGACGTGGACCTGGTCCAGGAAAATATCACCTGTAATCACAGGAGTGGGCGGGGCCAGGGCCCCGGCGGGCGGACCTCTGCGCTCACCTCCCCGCTGGTGCTTCCGTCCCTTCTCTCTAGGTTCCCTGTGTCCTCGCTCTTGTTCTGGGGGCACGCTGTCCTTTTGTCTGAGGCCATGGGAGCATATAGTTCTGTGCAGTGTGGCTGTCACTGTGTTTTTGTTGTTGCAATGTTTTTTTACATAACCTTCATTTCCTTGGTGTTGCTTTTTTGTTTGTTTGTTTATTGTCTGTTTTTCCTATTAGAGGCTTTACTCAAATGTCGCGTGGCCTTTGACTGTCTGCCCATATGTACAAGAGAAGCACTAACATCCACCACCGCCTGCCCTGGCCGGGTGGCTCAGTTGGTTAGAGCATCATCCCGATACGCCAAGGTTGTGGGTTTGAGCCCCAGTCAGGACACGTACAGGAATCACCCGATGATGCATTAGTACGAGGAACAGCATCTCTCCCCACCCCCAGCCACTGTCTGCAAGAGCAGTTGGGGGCTGCTCACTGCAGACTGGCCAGTGACGTGCCATCGGGGCCCCGCCCCTTCCTCTGTGCCTCTGGATCTTCTCCTTTGGGCTCAAGGAGCCCCCAGAGCGGAGCCCCCCCGTCCCCTGCGTGGAGCCTCTGCAGGGACGTGGGGGAGGCAGGGGCATCGGTCAGTGTGACAGCAGCGACCTCACCGCCCTGTCCAAGGCTGTCGCCACCCTCGGTCACGCCGGTGTGTTCTCACCCAGTCACCCTCTTTTGTCCCCTCCCAAGACATCCTCTCGTTTCTGATGCTGGGAAAGCGCTGCAAGTGTCGGTGGTTGGGGGAGGGTGTTAGAACTCAGACTGAGTCCAAATGGACTGCAACCGAGCGGAGTTCTCAGAAAGCCCCCTTCTCTGCCTCTCCCCCCTTCCTCTCCGACCCTCCCCCCTTCCTCTCGGCCCCGCCCCCGCCCGGACACCTGGACTGGGGGCTGCTGCTGCTTGTCACCACTGACTGTGACTTCGAGGCTTATGCCCTTAGAGAAGAACTTTAATCGTTGTCTGAGCCGACTTTGGGGAAGGAGCGGAGCTAAATGCACAGATCCAGTCTAGTCTGTAAACCCCCTTGGAAGCTTCGAATCCCACTTGACCTTGTATTAAACTGAACTCCTGGGATCCTTTTAATTTCATGTCGGTCCTGAGTTTTATCGTTTCTCAGACGTATCGGCTCCTCCCACGTGGCTGGGCCCTTGTGGGGTCCGAGGACTTCCCTCCCGGGGGTCTCCACGCGGAGGCTGCCCGGGCTCGCGCCTGTCTCTTCTGGGGGGGCCCCTGCGAGGGGTGTGTGTGTGTGTGTGTGTGTGTGTGTGTAACAGGGTGGGCGGGCGTTCTGGAAGCTCTGGGGTTCAGGGAGGAGTGCACCCTCTCGTGCTGTGGTTCTCTAACCTGCCGTTTCTCTAAGATGGACAGAACATCGGAATCAGGCACATTCCCACCACGCAGTGTGGCATCTGGGTTCGAACCAGCAACGGAGGGCATTTCGCGTCCCCCAGTTACCCTGACTCCTACCCGCCGAACAAGGAGTGCGTCTACGTTCTGGAAGGTGTGTGGCCAACTTCTGTCTTTTATTCAGGGACTTTTACTTCATTGTAAGACCGAACACGCTGATAAAACGACCCATTTAAACCAATTTGAACAAAATTGAACATGCATTTGAATTGAACTCTAGTAATTATAAATATTCCTGAATACTGAACACATTAACAAGATTATAGTTGAAGTAATGTAGGAGTTTTGAATCTCTTGAGATATAATGTATCTAGATGTATCAGTGTATATGAGAAGTCTCTCTGATAAGAAACTCAAATTAACTGGCATCTCTTATTAGGCTTTTATGCAAATTCATGCCCATAGTTACATTAGTTCCTTTCATTTCCTCTGTCTCTCTGTGCATTGTGGTGCATCGTACCTCATGAACCAAGCATTAGCTTTTGGACAGTAATTTTTTTCAAGATTTTATTTATTTAATCTTAGAGAGGAAAGGGAGGGAGAAAGAGAGGGAGAGAAACGTCAGTGTGTGGTTGCCTGCCATGCGCCCCCCACCCGGGACCTGGCCTGCAGCCCAGGCATGTGCCCTGCCTGGGAACTGAACCAGCAACCCTGTGGTTCACAGGCCAGCACTCAATCCACTGAGCCATACCAGCCAGGGCTGGACTATAATTTTAATCATTTGAATATGTTCACTCGTTTCATAAATAGCATAGGCCAAAGGGAAAGATTACTATAGTTCCATAAGATGCCATTATTATTCATGTAAAATAAACACTGACTATGAATTTAATATGTAACATCCTTGTTACACATTAATGCTTGGCTAGGAAGCAGTCAAAGCAACAGCCCTGTGGCTTTGACCTTGATCCTTTTTCCTGTGCGCATTGCCCTGACTTGCTTACCCCTGTCTTCCAGCTGCTCCGCGCCAGAGAATAGAGTTGACCTTCGACGAGCACTTCTACATAGAGCCGTCCTTCGAATGTCGGTTTGACCACCTGGAGGTCCGAGATGGGCCCTTCGGCTTCTCCCCACTCATTGACCGGTTCTGCGGCGTGAGAAGCCCTCCGCTGATCAGGTCGACCGGGAGGTTCATGTGGGTCAAGTTCAGTTCCGACGAAGAGCTTGAAGGCATGGGATTTCGAGCAAAATACTCCTTTATTCCAGGTGAGAAGACCGTTCTGCTCGCTGAGTAGCCCCCTCTGCACTTCCCACCCTAGGGCTGGAGAAGGGGGAATTTAGTCGTTAACACTTGAACGGAGAAGCCTTGTGCACTGTGAAGAAAGCACGGGAATCCCCAATGGAGACACAAAGACACGTTATTGCTGGAGCGAGGACACAAAGTAACATAGTGTAACCCATTATCGCTGTAGCAAGGAGACAAAGTAACATAGTGTAACCCGTGCGCAATCCTTCTGCTTTTATCTAGGCTTTCATGCAATAAATTTGTTAACTGAAAGAAATGAAAACATCTGAATGAAAAGAAAATGTCCACATTGTAACCCTTTATGCAGAAACACCGGTGCTAGCAGTAGGGCGGGTTGTTTTCCTACCTCCGGATGTTGTGTTTTGTGTGCGTAGGAGTCTGTTACCTGTGGGGTTTTTGTTTTGTTTGTTTTAGATTTTAGTTATTTATCTTTAGAGGGGAAGAGAAGGAGAGACGGAGACACATATGAATGTATGGTTGCCTCTCATGCGTCCCCTGCTGGGAACTGGCCTGCTACCCAGCCATGTGCCCTGACTGGGAATTGAACTGCAGTCCTTTGGTTCACAGGCCCGTGCTCAATCCACTGAGCTACACCAGCCAGGGCCTTATTTTGTATTTGCCTGAACAGCATACTCAATTTTTCTCCTCAACTTAAATGTATTATGGGAATTTTAAGTGTTACTTTATTACTTAGATGCTCAACACCAAGAGTCTAATATTTTCGAAAATTAAAATGTACCCAGTAGACTTTGTCTGATAGCTTCTCCACACCAAACCTGCATGTGGATGTTCATGGCGGTTTCACTGTCGTTGTTAAAACTTGGAAGCGACCCAGATGTCCCGCCGGAGAAGATAAACCATGGGCCACCCACATAGTGGGATGTTACTGAGTTTTAGGTTCGCAGCAAAACTGAGCAGAAAACACAGAGTCACCCTCTAACACACACACACACACACACACACACCCACCCAAAGCAGCACCAGGTGGCCCATGAGTGATGGTCAGTGAGCGGCACTGACACACGCCCTAGGGACCACTCTAGGCCGTGGGTGTCCTGGGGGGTTCCACTAGCCCACGGAGGGGCTTCACCGCCCCGCAAATCCCCCATGCTCGCCTCCTCATCCCTCCGGCCCAGGCAACCGCTGATTTTTCACTGTCCTTCCCAAAGGCTGTGGAGCCGGAGTCGCACAGGGTGTGTGTGTGGCCCTGTCTCACTTAGTAACATGCGTTCACGGTTCCTGCGCATGTTCTCGTGGCCTGAAACGCATTTGTTTTTAACACCGAAGGATGTCCCATCGGCTGGGTGGGCCAGTGTGCTTATCCTTCGCTGTAGGACCTCTCGGTTGCTTCTAAGTCGTAACGATTATGAAGAAGCATGCTACGAACACCCGCATTGGGGTTGGCGTGGGCAAGTTCTAACCAAGGGACACAATCGCTGGGTCACATTAAAAACACCTTTAACTTATGGGTGAGTGGATGGGTGTCACTCACCCGTGGTGAGTGCCCTTGATTCCACTGACCTGCGCTCTTCAACGCGGTTAAAGGGCTATAAATATATATATATATACACTACAGTAAAGACAGATGTTTAAAAACCAGTCAGGCGCCTTGAAGAACTTCATTGAAAAATGCAGGTAGGACCTCCACGCACAAACCTGCCAAAGTGAAGGCACCGCCGGTCTGAACTGCCTCGGAATCTTTAATGACACCACAGAACCTATTTTAGCAATTAGCACGCTTAGCATATGGCAGATATTTTAAGACTTCCTCCCTCCCTCCCTCCCTCCCTCCCTTTCATCCTCACTTGAGGACAAAGATGTGCTTATTGATTTTAGAGTGAGGGGGAGGGAGGGAGGGTGAGAAAAATCAAATGTGAGAGAGAAACATCGATTGCGTGCCTCTCACATGCGCCCCAACTGGGGACCAAACCCACAACCCAGGTATATGCCCTGACTGGGAATCGAACCCACAGCTGTTCGGTTTACAGGATGACGTTCCAACCAACTGAGCCACACCAGCTGGAAAAACCAATTTTAATACATAGTTTATTGTGTGCAACTGGGTGCTTGATTCTTGCTAATGCTGCTTATCCTTTCCCGGGGTTATTTCATTCCACACTGAAAACAGTAGGAGGGAAGTTGGGGCTTCACTGGGAGGACATCTCTCAGAGGCCGTTCCCGGACTCAGTGAACCCCGCCCAGCGGAAGGGGCCCAAGACACCCCAGCTCTTCTGCAGACAGACGCCAAAGAGAAATTTAAGTTTTCAACAGCATTGGAATAAAAGTGGTGCAGGCCCTCTGGCGAACATCAGAATTTCTCCCAGGTAGGCAGGCGTTCTCAGTGTCCTCACTGCGTTAAAACTTCCAGAGTTAGCCCGGTCGCATACGGATGAGATCTATCCAGAGACAGTCCAGCCATGTCGTTAGTATAACGACAGCGGTTCGCACAGCATCGATGTCACCTGGCAGCCAAGGAGAGGGGACTGGGATGTGTGTGTGTGAACAAGGCGACTGCGTTGCGCTGGTCAGTGGGGGCGGTAGACACCTGTTGAGTGAGCAGGTGCACTTTGTGGCCGCCACATTCAAAATGACTGAGTGTGTGGAACAGGAGTTCCAGACTCATTGGCACCGGGGCCATGTCAGCCTCGCAGTTGCCTGCAAAGGGCTGAATGTGATTTCAGTAAATGTAACTGCTCCTTAACAGGTAAGCGAGAGCTCAGCGCTGCCACCAGGTAGAAACAAGGTGCCAGGCCAGATAAAACCAGGTGGAGGGCCGATTGGGGCCACGGGCCTTGTGTTTGCCACCTGTGGTATAGAACAACAAATCTGTGTCAGATTCTGTACTGAGCCTGAACACTCCTCTGCGGAAACTGTTCGGATGATTCAGAGGCTGCGTCATCTGTGGGCACCTGGTGATTGGCAGCTTCATCACGACAATGCGCCTGCTCATGCGTCATGTCTGGTGCAGAGTTTTTTGGTGAAACATCAAATCGCTCTGGTGACTGAGCCCCCCTCAGCCCAGATTTGGCGCCCTGGACTTCTGGCTTTTCCCAGAACTAAAATCGCCTTTGAAAGGGAAGGGATCTCAGACTGTGGGTGGGTTTCAGGAAAATATGACGGGGCAGCTGATGCTCACTGGGAAAACCGTGAGGTCCCAAGGTGCCTCCTTGGAAGGGGACTGAGGCGTCATCGTCCAACGTACAATGCTTCTTGTATCCAGTACCTTCTTCACTAAATGTCTCTATGTTTCATAGTCCATGGCTGGTCACCTTCTGGACAGGCCTCGCCAGGAGGTGGCAATGTGTAAGAAGCCCTGTCTCAACAGACATCACTGGCAGCGTAGGAATTTATTTTTTAAATAATTTCTCGTTGTTAGTAGGCTTCTCCCAGACTTACCAGTTCCTAGACAAAATATATCTTATAAATACGATTTTAACTAGACAGCCATAATTTAGCTAGTTACGCGTTGCCTGTTTATTGTGACATGGTGTTTTTTTCTCTCAGCGGTAAAACGATGGAATCCTCACCCACGTGGCAGAGGGACAAAAGCTGTGTAAAGAATTTGGAACGGGGCCCCGGCTTCGCCGTTAATTTGACCTGAGAAAACCCTGCTCTCTCTGATTCTGTTTCATGCTCATTTGTAAACTGGAACATTACCTAATCCTCCTGGCATTGCTCTCATTAGCGTGATATTAAACATGATGTATGTCAGACCCTGAAACACTGTGAAATGCAAATGTAAGGTAATGCAGTCTAGAAGTCCTGAGCACTTTATTCTAATTTGGTTCTATTTTAACCGCAAGTTGCAGAAGGTTGCTCTGGTGATACATACCTACAGCCCGTGGAGGGAGAGAGCTCCTTCTCTTCGAAGTAAGAGTCTTTACATATAAAGTTGCCTGGTTTTGTTTAATATTTTAAAACATTACTCAAATAATGAAGGGCATTGTTTTTGGTGTGTATTTGCAAAGATCTGATTCAAATGCGAGATTTCATGACATGGGTCTTTGACACTCACGTGTCACCTACTTGTCGATTGGATTTAGTTCCTAAAAATCACAGTGACGCCCTGGCTGACACGGCTCCGTTGGTTGGAGGGTCACCATCCCATGCAGGGAAAGACTGCGGGTCCAGTCCCCAGTGGGGGCACGTACGGGAGGCAACCAATTGGTGTTTCTCTCTCTCCCTTTCTCCCTAAAATCAATAAATGTATCAGCAGGTGAGGATTGAAAATAACACCAAACTCTGACAATTAAATCAGTCATTTGAACACATAGCGGTGTTCTCAGTCTCCTATGAACTGCTTCACAGGGCAGAATATCCTGTAATACCACCTGGTCGCCTTTCCTCCCCTGCCGTTAGTGAGGGAACAGAACATAAACTGTATCATTTTTCGCCCTTCGTGAGCATACGAGTCACTGGCATGGAGTACATTCACAGTGTCGGGTGACCATCATGGCTGCGGGACTCGTGTGCAGAACGTTTTGGTCACCCCAAGCTGGAATTCTGTCCCCATGAAGTATTCGTCCCCAGCCCCCAGCCCCGAGCCCCTGGGACTCGTCATCTCTGAATGGGACCAGTCCGGGTATTTCAGAATGAGGACAGTCGTACAGTGTCTGTCCTTCAGCGTCTGGTTTACGTCGCCAAGCGGTGTGTCAAGGTTTGTGCACATTGAGGCACATGCTAGGATTTCATCTTTTTAAGGCTGAATGACGATGCTCCGTCGTATTGCAGGGACCACACTGTTCATCTGCCTGTGGCTGTCCCTGCCACTGACGGAGTAGGGGGTGTTCAGGAAGCAAAAATAAGTTATTAATTCAGGATGGGATCGCAATATTTTTATACATTATCACTTAAAAAACATTGATTCTGCCCCGGCCGGTGTGGCTCAGTTGGTTGCAGCATCGTTCCATGAAGCAAAAGGTCACCGGTTTGATTCCCGGTCAGGGCACATGCCTGGGTTGCAGGTTTGGTCCCCAGCCGGGTCGGATTCAAGAGGCGACCAATCAGGGTTTCTCCTTCTCTCTCTCTCTCTCTCTCCCTTCCCGTCTCTAAAAATAAATAAATAACATCTTTAGAAAAACATTCATCCTATCAGTGAGTGTCTGAAGTTGCTCATAAATTGCTCTCTGGTCTATGAGCAGAAAGTTCTTCCTTGCACAGTTACCGCACCCACCATTAGCTACAACGTAAGACCTCGAGCCGTGTCTCCAAATGCCAATGACCTTCTGCTCTTTTCTGTTCCAGATCCAGACTTTACGTACCTAGGAGGTATTTTAAACCCCATCCCAGGTCTAGTATATTACCTCTTTCTCCTCACTCCGTTTTCAGCCGGTCTTCTCCCCCCTTGACTGTGTGCGCCTGTCCCTTCCAGACTGCCAGTTCGAGCTCTCGGGGGCTGACGGGATAGTGCGCTCCAGCCAGGTGGAGCAGGACGACAGGACGAAGCCCGGCCAGGCGGTGGACTGCATCTGGACCATCCGGGCCACCCCGAGAGCCAAGGTGCGGCCGCGTGTCGGGTCCCTTCCGAGAGGGACGGGGGGCGAGACTTGCATGACGTGCTTATTGTGCTTTATGCCGACACTTACTGACTCTGTGAGCTGCCTTCCAACTTGTTAAAATGTACTTTTGTCCCACCATTAGGTACCTCTAAGATCTCAGCATTGTTACCGTGAGATAAGCCACAGTGTAACCTTCAGAAGTATCACCGTTGCACTAAGGTTCTTATTTTAAGGGTTTTAAGGTCTTAAAAGCGTGTGGATTCCTGATTGAAGGGTGCAAGTGTGGGTCCGGGTGGTCAGGGATGCATTTAAAGCGTTTTGTGAGGAGAAGAAATACTGGGTCACAAGAAGTTAGGGCGTCTTGTCAAAGGTCCCAGAGTGCGTCAGAACCCACATACCCGCGGGTTGTCTGGGTTCCGAGTCCTCACTCTGCTTGTCTGCACCCCCTGCTAGTCTGCACCCTGTGCTGGTCTCCTTCTCCCTCTAGTCTCTTCCTCCTGCTCATCTGCTCCCCACCCCCCGTTTTCACCCCCCACTTGTCTGCACCCCCCAGTCTGCATCCCCCATTCATCTGCGCCCCCCACTAGTCTGCACCCATGCTGGTCTCTTCCTCTCGCTCATCTCCTCCTCCCACTTGTCTGTGCCCCCCCACTAGTTCCCCCCCACTAGTCTGCACCCCCCCTACTCTCCACAGAGCTTCCCCTGAGGCCATGGAAGGATGGGGTTTCTAAGAACCTGACAGATGGAGATGGGTTGCTAACTACTCCTGTTTCTTGCTTTGAATTTATACTTCTAGGAAGTTAGCAGAGTTAAAGTTATATTTAATATGTGTATGTGTAAAAATGGAAAAGAGGGCAAAGGGGGGAGCACACCTTCTAGAAAAATTATGAAAACCCAGTTTGCAGTCAGGCTGACAGGATGGAGGAGAAAACTAGAAACCCACCTGTGAGAAGCGCTGTGAAATATCGGGTCAAATGTAGCAGATTTGTTGCAAAACATCGATAAGCTCCCTGCAAAAGACGTAATTGGTCATTTGTATGGCGTAGAAATGAAGGGAGAGACCTAGAACCTTGAGCAGTTAACTGACGGCTGCAATCGTGGGTACAAATGCTCGCTGCTACGTGAGTGACTGGTGACCCGGCCAGGGCAGGAAGGTGCTGTTGCAGCCACACGGAGACAGGTGTAACAAGGCCCAGGGTTCAGGTGACCTCCGTGACTGACACCCCTCGTGGAAACCTGGAACCCGCAAAGGTGCGTGGCTGCCATGAATGTCTGATTGGAAAACCCCTTCCTCCAACACCAGTTGATAGTAAGCGAGCTCATCTTCCCGGGCTCAGTCTCGGGGTGATGGAGTCTGGGGTCTCCCCTACACCTTTGCACCTCAAACCCTGTCTTTATGCACAGTTTGAGATAGGAATTCACAGTCCATGGTCAACCCAGGAGTCACTGAGCCCTGAAACTAACCAAATGGAACTGGGCTCACAAAACCTTTGAGGCACGAGGCAGAAATAAAAACAGAGTAACTCACCGTGGAGGCCACAGGGTCCCGCTGAGCGTGGCTCACAGCCGGCTGGGGAGCACACGCCAGGGGGCAGCCCATCACGGCGCCAGCACACACAACACGCCGGAAGTGTGCCGGACACTAAACACCCTCCGGGAAGGGACTAAAAAGGGTGAGCAAGGACAATGGCCAGGGACACTTGGAAAATAACCAACTATAAAAAACTAAGTAAACAAATAAAATAAAAACCAGCTAGAACTCCTGCAAATGAACAGTATAGTTACTGAAAGGTAGACCAAGAGAATTACCCAGAATGCACTCTGGGGGCGAGGGAGGTTGAAGAGGAGGGTGTAGCAGACTGATGCTTTTTTTCCCAAATCTGTCAATAACCGTGCAATTGCTTTTAAGAGGAAAACATGTGCCGCAGTTGTGCCTCATAGAGCAGAGAGTCTCTTCTCCTTGCAGACGCACTTTGGGTTCCTGAGTGCTTGGTTCTGCTCCGCCTCTTCTCCTCCATTTCCCCGTCAGCTGCCATAACGCAGTTCGATCTCCCGAGTGGACCAGATGGCAGGACCGGGGAATTCAGGTCCACGTGACTCTTCAGCGGCCGTGCTTGTCTTTGTCTCCGCCGCAGATTTACCTGAGGTTCCTGGACTACCAGATGGAGCACTCCAACGAATGCAAGAGGAACTTCGTGGCCGTCTACGACGGGAGCAGTTCCATTGAGAACCTCAAGGCCAAGTTCTGCAGCACGGTGGCCAATGACGTCACGCTCAAAACCGGAGTCGGCGTGATCCGCATGTGGGCGGATGAGGGCAGCCGGCTCAGCAGGTTCCGCATGCTCTTCACCTCCTTCGTGGAGCGTAAGTACCGGCGAAGCTCCTCCCCACGGCGGCGCCCTGACGTCAGTTTCAGGATACTGTTACCATTCAGATACTGTTACTGAGCGTTTCCTTTGACAAAGCCCGCAAGTCACAGGGTGGGGAAGTAACAGCGTCCTGGCCCCTCTTCTTAAAGCATTGACTGCTGGGGGTAGAGCAGCTGTGTTCATGCAGAAATTGCTACCCTGCCTCATCATCGGGCTCTGACAGTGGCAGGGGGCTTTGCAGAAAAGAGAGCCTCCCCCCGCCTCCCCTCTCGCCTCCGGTCCCCGCCCCTCCCCACCCCTGCAGCCCCCCACCCCACACCTGCAGCCCCTCCTCCCCTTCTCTCTGTAGCTTCCTGACATATGCATATTTGCTTGCGCCCCCCTTTTTCTTCCATGACGGGAAGCTTGTTGCATACTCCACAGTGGATCCTGGAACACACTCCACACTCGTTCCGAGGGGTCCCCCTTCTTTCGCTCGCTGTGCAGAAGTGTGCGGTCTGCATACTTACTTGGTCTGTCTTCTGTGTGGGGCACAAAGGTCATTTCCGACGCTTTGTGATTACAAGCTGAGTCACAAGAGAATAATGCTGTGCATATGTGTGTTTATCTTCTCCGAGGAGAATCCTCAGGAGGACTCCTGGAAGTGGGGGTGCCGCCTGGCCGGGTAAATCACGTGGTAGTCTAGTTAGGTATCGCCAAACACCGAGTTGGCATCTTCTTCCAACAAAAGGCTCTTCTCTGCTTTGAAGACCTGCCATTCGCCACAGCCACCTTCGTGCACTGACTGTCTCAGCCAGGCCTTCTGGAGACCACGCCGCCTCTCGTGGCCCTTTCGTGGTGTGGAGATGGCTTCTGTCCTCAACCCCCACGAGCCTTTCTTCCACAGCCTCCTCGCCTTCCGCAGCCTTCCACTGATTCAGCGCTGCACTAGCTTAAATCTTACGTGAAAAATTCTTTGATGTGTTTTAGTTAATATCAAAGGAGGATCAAAATATTCCATAAATTTTTATGAAAGTTCCGGTTTGAAGATCTCCTTCTGATAAACACATTTGAGAGCTTCCGACGTTTCACATGCTTCTTATTAACTCAGGTTGTGAAACTGCCTCTCACTCTTCTCTGAGCTGTTTGCGATGTGTGACCGTTAGGGACCCAGCCTCGGAGGCAGCCCCGTTTCGGGACAGGTTTACGTAAACGGACCGGCCCTGCGCGGGAGGCTCGCTTCAGACCGGCCGTGGCAGACTGCCACGGAGACCGAAATAGGAGAGCGTGGCTACGGGGACCGAAATAGAACAGCGGCCAGGATGCGTTCAGTGTCCTCCCAGACTTGGGAACACACGCCTCGCACTTCAAGAACGGCGTGGTTTCAGGAAAACGGTTTCTAGGACTAGAACTGTGAAAGCCAGAGGAGATATTTTTGTCAGAATAAGTCCCCAATGCGATTGCTGGTGACACGTGGCTGACAGGTGCCCCGAGGGCTTCACCAGAGGACGGAGCTGCCTCCCTGTCTCACCTCATCAAACCTGGAGCTGAAATGCCTGCCCCTCCTCTCGCAGGCGGGCCCCCAGGGAAGAGAGGGGACGGCGGGGAACCCTGGGCCTGGGGGTGGGGAGCAGCTCCCGACAGGCTGGCTTTGCTCCTATCCTGTCCCTTCGAGCACTTGTCCCCAGCAGCCACGTGGATAGCGGACACCTGGCCGGCAGCTGAGCTTGCCCATCAGAGGTCCATACAGCTTAATCCATTAGGATGACCAATCTGCCAGACACGTCGGAGAAACAATCGGGCAGGTCGGCGCCACGATGACCGGGTTAATGAACGAGCAGAGCGGCTGTAAAGAGCCTCGTGGTAAAAGCTGGGTCCTCTCCACCCACTGCTCCATCCGTGGGGAAAACCGAGCAGGAAACCTGTCTCTCTCTCTTTTCTTTCTTTCTTTCTTTCTTTCTTTTTTTTTTTTTTTTGCCACTTTGGAAGCTACAAGAGCCACACAGATGCAGCCACAGAATGGCATTGTGGGTAAACGTGAAGAGCTAATGATGGTTTGACTCAAAAAACCAGAAGCCCCAAGACTATTTATAACCTCCCTCCACTTGGCTTAAAAATAGCCTCTCTGTCCTGTGTCCCATTTGTGAACTGGAAAAGACGGTGAAGTTAGAATTCAGTGTGTACCCGGAGAGAGCGCCAAACACAGGGTCGAGCAGCAGGAAGGCCAGCTCGAGTGCGAGGGACGGTGACACTGTGGGTGTGACCACTGACAGTTTCAATCGGAATGTTTCACCTACGATGTCCTGCGGTGCGCGTGAGTGGGATCTTGTGTTACGGAACGACGTGCTTACGACTTTGTCATAAAAGAGGGGCGTTATTTGTGCTGCACCCAGTAGCATCCTGGTGTGACAAGAAGCAAACAAACAAAGAAAAAAACCCCAGAAAACCCCCGGTTTTAGAAACAAGGGATCCAAACATCGCCGTGTTCTCTAGCCAGCGATTTCCAACTTTTTCTTCTTGTGACACACGTAATCTAATCACTAAATTCTGCGGCACACCAGAAAATGTATTTTTGCCGATCTGACAAAAAAGCAGGTACAATTTTGATTCATTTGCAGCGGATGTTCTCATTTTTTTTATTGGACCATCTACGGGAAAAGAGGTCGGGGCCCCTGCTACATAATCAGTTCTGCAGATTCTGGCGGCACATGGGTTGGAAATCGCTGCCCTGGGCTGTGCGTCACATCCGAGAATGCTACCCTGGCCGGGTGGCGCAGCGGGTTAGCGCCGTCCGGGTGCACCAAGGTGGCCGGTTCAATCCCGGGTCAGGACCCATACAAGAATCAACCAATGAGTGTATAAATAAGCGGGACAACAAATCGAAGTTTCTCCCTCTGTCTCAGCCTTTCTCCTTTCTTCTCTCGCTCTAAATCAAAAAGTAAAAAAAAAACCTGTCAAGTGTGCACACCTGTGTGATATAGTTTTACGATCCCACGGTGCACCTGAAGAGGGCGCCCTGGCTGGTTTTGTACTTGAAATACCGCCCTCCGCCCTCCTCCGCTCTCCTGTCCCCCTGGGAGTGGCTTCCACGGAACCTGCTGATGTAGCTTACCTGGGCAGTCTAAGGGATGTGGGCAGGTTACCCCCTTGGAGGGGTCACTCGCTACACCCTCTTTCTCGCACTCAGATTGAGAACCGCGGTGCCAGCCCGATTGGGGTCATTCACAGTCTCACCCGCTGGTGGCCCAGGAGCCAGAGGTGGCCCGCAGTCCACCCACTCATTGGAGAGGCAGCCGAGGCCCGCAGGTGGCCTGCCACGCCGGGTCCGGTGTGCTGCTCACACACGGGCCCGTCCCTCTTGGTCGCCGGTCCCTCGGTCGTTCCACTTGCAGCCTCACAGCACAACAGTCCCTTCCTCCTGGATGAAACGGGGTTTCTGAGAGTGAGGACTTTTTAGGCAGGGACTACCTTTTGTTTGATCATATTCGTGGGAGTCAGTGGCTCGCTGATTTGGGGAGTTCCGCCGCACCTCCACGTAGGGGGCAGAAGAAAGTGGTCCCAGCTCTTGATGTTCGGGATTTTTGCTGAAATCTAGGATTTACTCCCTCACGAGGTAAGCACACGCGTTGCAGTCCAGTGTAACACACGTTTACACACACAAGGAGGAAGCTGCTGAGAGGAGGCTAGAGTGGAACGGGAGCCCCTGACCATGTAGGGGAGCCGGGGGGACTCTCCACAGAGAGGACGGCATTTGGGGTGACCCTGGAAGAGGAGAAGGAGGTCCCCACAAGGGGAAGGAAGGGGTCGTATCAGACCAAGAGAGCACGTGGTACACAGACCATGCAGCTTTACTTCCTCCTTGTCATTGTGTTGCAGTCATCCCAGACTTTCCCCCTTTGCCCTCCTCCGCCTATACCGTCATTTTTTTAACTTGAAATTCCAAAGCGTTTTTTGCTGTCATGCTAATATCTGTGCAACCTGAGATGCACCATTTCTAAGTGCGCGAGTCCCTGGCATCGAACGCTGTGCCCACTGGTTCCCACCCCCCCCAGCATGTTCTTCTGCCCACACTGCACCTCCGTCCCATCAAACGCCCCCTCCCTGTCCGCCTCCCACCCCGTTCTCGGACGGCCTCGCCTCTGTGTCCTCCGGCTGCCTCGGGGGAGTGGGGTGAGGGGGTGTGGATCCTTTTGCATATGGCTTCTTCCACGCAGCCCGGTGCTGTCAAGGCTCATCTGCGGCAGCGCGTCGCTCTGCACTCGAGTCAGAGTCACACTCCACTGTGTGTGTGCCCCGCGAGGCAGCTCTCCGTCCACCGTCCACAGACATGGGCTCCTTCCCACCCTCGGCTCCTGGGAATGGCCGTGGCCGCGGGTTCAGGAAGCTGTCCCGGCTCCTGCTGTCACTCCTGTGGGCGGAGCCCAGAGGTGGAGTTGTGGGGCGCGTGGGGACGGCCGTGCCTTTCTGAGGAACTGCCAGGCCGTTTCCGCCGCGGCCGCACCATCTCACAGCCCCACCCGCGCGGCACAAGGGGTCCCAGGCCTCCGCATCCACACCAGCGTTGTCCTTGAACGGCTTTAAAAACCGCGCCGGGCTGTGTCCTGTGGGAACTGCACCCGTGCCCTCATGACAGTGGTCTTGGCAGCTAGGGTAAATAAAGTATCCCAGAATCGTTGGTCCCAGTTTCCCCGTGTGCACAGCGCAGAGGGGACTCCAGGGAAGGCCCCGCGGCAACACAGCGACCCCACAACAGTCGGTGTGAGGCGGCGTGCGCGCGCCGCCCGCGTGCTTCCCGGCCTCGGCAGCGCGGCTCTCTCTCTCCCCACAGCGCCCTGCACGGGCAGCGCCTTCTTCTGCCACAGCAGCATGTGCATCAACAGCTCCCTGGTCTGCAACGGCGTGCAGAACTGCGCCTACCCGTGGGACGAGAGCCACTGCAGAGGTGAGGCCCCCGGCGCGGAGTGGGCGGCGCTAGTGGCGCAGGCCCTGGTCCACCCCGGTGCCGGGGTCGCTGCTGTGCCAGAAATGGAGATCTGTGTATTAATATTCCTCGAAATGGATCATAGGCATCTGGGTGTGGTTTAAAAAAAAAAGAAAGAAAAATACTTATTCTCAGACTCTGCTTTTTATTGTAAGCTGTTCCAAAGTTTGTCATAATATTCTTGCTCTTATTTTCTTAGTCTTTGGTCTTGTGGAGACACCTTATTCTCAGAATTATTTAGAAAGGGGCCTTGAGTATTACTATTATTTAAATTATATGGGAACACTACTTAATAAAAGTCGATCGGTGGATTCGGTTTTACAATATAAAGCAGGCTCCTGGGAAGAAGGGTTTGTTTTCAGTTCATAGAGGTCCCTGTACCCTCGGAGTATTCCTCAGGGAGAAATCGGGGCCCGGGGAGAGCAGTCGTTGAATGTCCACATGCTAGTCACCCAGTCAGCATCTCGGGGCTCAAATTTATCTACCTTTTGCTCGTCAAGGGCCCAGTAAGTACCTCCCTATGAAAAGAGTTAATGTGATGCCACCATCTTAAGGACTGGACACGAAGTGTTCCCGAGTAATGATCTGAAACAGCGGCCCGGGCAGCAGGCCTGCGGGGGTTAGTCTGGGCTTCCGGCCCTCCTGTGAGGTCCCTACAGACTCGGGAAGGTGCTCACAGCTGCCCTGGAGCAGAAGGCCTGCCGTGACAGGACAGGGGCGTGCGTTCTGGGGTTTGCTCCATGCACACGTTACGTTAGATTTGCACGTTGTATTCCTGTGTCTCCCGAGCCCAGAGCTGCGTCCTTTCCCGTTCTTGCGAACTCCCTGCGTTTCTCTTTCTCTTCCTGCAGAGAAGAAGCAGGCGGGCCTCTTCGAGCAGATCACTCGAACGCACGGCACCATCATCGGGGTCACGTCGGGGGTCGTCCTGGTCCTTCTCATCGTGTCCATCCTGGTGCAGGTGAAGCAGCCCCGGAAGAAGGTGCTGGCGTGCAAGAGCGCCTTCAACAAAACCGGCTTCCAGGAGGTGTTCGACCCGCCGCACTACGAGCTCTTCTCCCTGCGGGACAAGGAGCTGGCCGCCGACCTGGCCGACCTGGCCGAGGAGCTGGACGGCTACCACCAGCTGCGCCGCACGTCGTCCGCCTCGCGCTGCGTCCACGACCACCACTGCGGCGCGCAGGCCCCCGGGGGCGGCGGCGCCGGGGGCGGGGGCGGCAGGGCGAGCAGGACCAACCTGGCGGCGGTGGAGCTGCCCTTCCGAAATGACTTCGCGCAGCCCCAGCCCATGCAGACGTTCAACAGCACCTTCAAGAAGAGCAGCTACTCGTTCAAGCAGGCGCGCGAGGGCCCGGAGCAGGCGCCGGACGACCGCGTGATGGAGGAGATCCCCTGCGAGATCTACGTGCGCGGCCGGGAGGACGCCGCCCAGGCGTCCATCTCCATCGATTTTTAGCCTCCGGCGGCAGGCTGCCCGCACCCCCGCGGACGTGCGGATCCCCCTGGAGCGCCCCGTGCGCTCCTCCGAGAGCCCTGCTCGCCTGTCACGGCTGCGAGGACTTCCCTTCCCAGCCACCTGCCTCAGTGGTGACGTTTGTATTATCTCAGGCAGTGGACATGTGTTAAATGAACCAAGAAACGTGCTCCGCTCGGTGAGAAACTACCCTTGTGTTGCTTGGTGTCCTGTAAGGGCATCCAAGGGCCTGGCGACAGGAACCTGCTTTTCTTTTTTTTTTAGTACATTTTGTTTTTAGGGGAAGGGAAGGATAAAAGAAAGAGAGAGAGAAACATCAATGTGTGGTTGCGTCTCCCGCGCCCCCTACTGGGGAACCTATCCTGCAACCCTGGCATGTGCGGGACTGGGAATGGAACCCATGACCCTTTGGTTCAAAGGTTGGCACTCAGTCCGCTGAGCTGCACCATCCCAGGCAGGAACCTGCTCTTGGTGGACTCTGCTCGGTCAATAGTTTGATCCCACAATAAGTTTAAAGATAAGATTTTCCTCTACATTCCTTTTATTTTTTCTTTCATATTTCATGGGTTGTGTAAGCCAGAGATTTTACCATTTCGCTGTCTTACGTCACTATGTGGCGTAAGCCCTGCCCGTGTTTCCACATCGGCATTTGTTCTGGACTTTGTCAGATACGCTCGTTACCATGGTGAGCCCAATTAAGACCCAGCGTTGAGCTTCCTCCATCTGTTTCTTCCTGACTAATTTCTAGATTGTTCCCTTCTAATTACTGGACCCTTAGTCTTTATTTTCTGTGAGAAGCAGATGATACGATGTGATTTGTGGCCTTGAAGTCCATCTGTTGTCTCAGTTATCGTACAAAATTCCACAGTTCTGGGATGGATGTACCATTGCCAGTTATGACTAAGAACTTGAAAAAAATGAAAACTTCTAGAAATCCTTTGAAATTTCCCGAATTTGGTCACACCCAGCAGTAGCCTATCCGTCCCTGTCAGCAAAGTCACACTTAGTTCATTTTTGGAGAGGCTGCTGATTTCGTTTATTTCTAGCGGTTCTCATCAGCAGACGCGTTTTCTGTTGTTTTTGTGAAAAGATCACTTAGCTCCCTTTGTACTCGTCTGTTTTGTAGCATGCGGTACCCCGGGCTGTCTGGGAGTTCAAGGACACTCCCACAGAACTGCCGAAGCCCTTCCATCACTTCCAACTTGGGACAATACATTTCTCTAGGTCTTACCAAGAATAACAATTTCCCCCTTTTTTTTTAAATACACTTTTGACCTCCTGGGAGTTTTTTGGATGGTACAGAAACAATCATTTATAACCATGACGCAAAAATTCACTGCGCTTTTTCAGACTTTGGATACCATTTGATCCTGGACAAACTTGATGAGTGACGTCACGATGCGCGCCCGACGTGGCGGATTTCTGGCAGTGCCCCCAGCAGCAGCTGGGCGTGCATATCAGCTCCTCGGGGAGAGCACCCTGTAGTTTATTGCGAAGACCTCGGTGATGTGTGCATACGCTCCTTGTGTCCTTTTGTTACTGGCTATGGTTTATGATACAGATTTTTCACTGTGTGATATTTATTGTTCTACATAACTGCACAAACCTTCTGTTTATACATTGTTACATGATTCTTCAATTACGTTATTCATGGCGCTGAGGTTTTGGGTCTTAGACAGGGAAAGGAACCTGTTTATTGAATTATAACTAATTCAGACATGCCATCCAAGCAGTAGACATTCTCATTTCCTATGTTTTTGTAGTAAATTCTCAACGAATTGAGACATTGAAATTTCACCGGATTTTGTTAATTCTTTTAAATATCACATCCGTGTGATATTTCTCAGATTAGTGGAAACCGTGACCTTAAGTGATACATATATAATACTCCTTCAAAATGCTCCTTTTATCACCTGTTTTACTTTTTTAAAAGTGTGTAACATCCAGAGGGTAGAAAAACACGCACCCACTGCATAGTCATGATCTGAGGATTTTTTAGGTCAGCATAATTTCTCATTTCAAAAACGCAGCTTGGGAAGGCGAGAAGCCTTCACGAATGTAGTATTCAGTAAATTGATGAACCAGGGCCAGGGGAGTTAGCTCAGTTCTCTCCATATCTCTGTCGAGTGGGCCTTTTAATAGGTAACGTTTCAGCCAACACTTGGACAACATAGTAAATATTTAACGACAACTGTTCTTCACGATGCTGAGAGGGAAATTAGCGTATTGCTATGTAAAATATAATAATATCCATTATAAAAACAGCTGTTCTCCATCTTTAACATCTAAGTTAGAGTAGAAAATAATATAGTGTGCTGAACTGCATTATCTATAATCACCGTAGCTTTATTTTCGAAGTTTGTATCATGTGTGGAATGGGCAGGAAGAGGCCCGTCAAACATCCTCGTTAAAGAACACATTCATTGTCCATGCAGACAGCACAACACAGGAGGTTAAGTTTAGACAACACGCTCGGCTCTGCATCTGCGGCTGGTAGAACCAACGACATCGTTTCTGCTTCTCACGACGGAAAACCCAAACGCCTGCTGAGGCTGGTGTTCTCTTAAGCTGAAGAAAGAGAGGCTCTGTAGCCAGGATGCGGCTTCCTCAGAGTTTAAAAAACATGCCAAACGCAGAGAGAGGGCCCATGGCACACCTTCCTCGGGCCAGCGCAGGCGGGTGGTGGCGCGGTCCGTCCCGCAGGGGCGGGGCTGTAGAACCCGCCTCGGACCGCCCTGGGGTGTGCGCCTGCGTGGACCTAGAGATGGCCATCCGACCTCCTCCAGCTCGTGGTCAGCGTCCAGCAGTGCTCAACAGGGAGAGGACAGAACTCATACGCATCGGGCAGGATCACTAGCATAACGCTAATTGTTGTACATAGTCTTTTATCTTCGAGGTCAGTAAGAGAACTTTTCCAACTGTTTACTAAAGTAAAAGCCATACATTTTACTAGTGGGAGGTGGAAGTCCGCCACCTCTCGGGAGTTAGTGCACCCTTCACAGAGACCGCGGGGACCGGTGTTAACATGTAGAGGACACGCTGGGCTGGGGGACACCCTCCAGGCAGGAGGGCACTCGTCGCCGCTGTAGGGGAGCAGCAGCGGTCTTCCTTCGGGGACATGGCGGATCCCGCAGGTCCCAGGAACCTGACGCCTCCTCCCCGCACTGCCATGTGTAACATGTTTAGGACCAGAGCGTGAGGTTCCTTTTGTGGGGGTCAAGGTCTTCTTCTGAACGGTCGTCCAGACCCACTGATGTCTCACGAGCGGGGCACTTCCTTGCTTTGGGAGCGGGTCACCGGGTGAGCCGGGGCAGGAAAGGCCCAGAGTGGCTCCGGGAACGATTCTTTCGGTCCAAGAAAGGGCGCGCTCTCGCAGGACGGCATCGGCTGCATCATGCAGGTCACGTTATTTCAAGTATTGAAAAGAACGTGTCTTGGATCCGACTCATCAGACTGGTGAGAGGGAATCTTGAGTTTCAGGTTTTTTAAGACCCAAGGAAGAGGATTTGGTCCAACTTCATGGCTGAGGAGGTTGAAGCCGGATAAGACAAGGGGGGGGGCCGGGCCTCAGAACAAGCCCCCTCGGTCCCAGTGTCTCCCCGATCGCCGTTTTAAAAGCCAGGCGGTTTTAAACAGCGGCCCCAATGGTCCATGGAAGCTTGTCGTTCTGACTTGAAGTGTAATTTATCTCGTAACTGTTTTTTATCCAAGCATCCTGCTTTTCTTTCTGCTCTTTACCTGTGGAAACTGGGTCATTCTGCAATTTGTGTAGCCGGGATTTCTCGGCACCTACAAACGCGGCAAGACAATTACTGTGAATTCTTAATAAAACAATGTTTGTTAACAATTATAGAACTGACTGGAGTGTCAGTGTTTCGCTTTTGTGATCTTTTCTAAACTTAAAGGAGACAATGTATCTTCTGGAAATTAAACACTTGTGTGCCGTACATCTTGAGTTTGGGGAATGATTTGAGTTCGAGGCCATCAGTGGTTCTCTTTTTCAGCTCCCAGCAAAATCAGGTGTCTGTGTTTTATATGCCTCTGCTCATAACAAACTCAACATGCCAAATTTCCCTTTCCTTGGTAACTTTTTGATGTACTTCTGGGATTGGTTTAACAACAACCAAAGCCCAAGACACTGAATGACTGGGGTGCGTGTTTAATATGGACTGCCTTGAGTAAGTTTTTTTAGATAATGGATTTTCCTTTTAAAGGTGACCTTCCAGACCCTATGAGAATTCTCACGTGCTAATCTTGGGTCTGACACTCCACAGGAAAGAATTCGCCCTGAACCTGAAATAAAAACTCGTGTTTTGATTGATTAAAACACTTGGTGGCCTCAGTTTCCAGAGTCTGGAGAAGTGGCCACGAATCTTCCCTTCCTTCGAAGGACCAAGTTGGCATTTCCTATCTAGAAGCCTCCAAAGTAAAATAATTGTAGTTCTGAGATATATATATATATATTTTAAAGCAGCCTCAGGCTACTGCACTGAAAGCCATTTGAAGTTTTCAAATCTTCAAGCGAAGATGAAGTTTTTAAAACATGAGTCCATCTCTGGTTTCCTGCAGGATGCGGTCTCCCACGGCGACTCACTGAAGCGGGGGTCCCAGAGTGAGCGGCCGTCAGGCACGCTGTCCTTGTGAGCTGCACGGGACATCGGTCACGTGGCTCGGGACGGGTAAGTGGGCCCCGTCAAAGGTGTCCACCGAGGAGCACGCAGAGAGAGGCCAGAGCTCCGGGGTTTTCCACTCATCCGGTCACAGGCTGCGGGGCAACCGAAGAAAGGAAACGGCCAGCAGCGCAGGTCTGTCCCCGCAGAGAGTGACGGGGCAACCTCCCTTTGTGTTATTCGGGGTCCAGAAACAGCTTTGCCCCGAGAGTGAAAAGCTCTCACTCTCCAAGCCTTGTCAGGCGCAGGGCAGGCCGCTGAGCCAGCGCATGCGTACGGACACACCCCCGGGGCTGCTGCCGGCTAGAAGGGCTTTGCATCACGAGG